CAATGCAGATTTATTTTACAGTTCTCATTAAAATTAAGAGGTCAAGACAGGACTTCAGTCCTTCTGGAGGCTCTAGGAGACCATCTGTTTCCTTGTCTTTCGCAGCTTCTGCAGGCTGCCTGCATCCTTGACTCCTGAGCCCCGTTCTCCATCTTCAACGCCTGTGACATGGTGTCTCTCTGATTCTACTTCTCGTGTCACATCTCTTTTTCTGACGTTCTCTTCTGCCTCTCTCTTCCACTTTCAAGGACCTCTGTGATTACATTGGACCCACCCAAATCATGCAGAATAATCTTCCTGTCAAGGTCTTAATTTAACCTGCAAAATCCCTTTTGCCATATCAAGTAACATATTCATAGTTTCTGGGAATTAGGACTGTCACTCTTGGATGCCTTTATACTGCCTACCACAGGTAGTTTCCCAGCTCAGGTACTTTCTGAAAAATTCACAGAAGCTGCTCATGTGAACTCTCCTTTTGAAAAAATGTGAGCATGATGACATTTTGATTCATCAGGTCTCTTTGGTTTGGAAAAATTGACTAAAATGAAGAAAGGAGTAACTGCTAGTAAGTGACAAAAGAGGGACTTGGAAAGGGGACGTAGTTGGCTTCACTAATAAAACGTAGACTAATGTTGATGTTAAAAAAATCCAAAACATGATTTTAGAATGAGTTAGTAACAATAAGACACTTCTGTTATAATGAAAGTTTTTATTAAGTGTCCCTGTTGTTTTGGTGGGGGCTGTGCTACTCTTAGACAAAACCCCTACCATTCAGCTCATGAAGAACTGCTATGATACCCAGGATATTGTTCTGATATGCTTAGCACTGGCTAGACCTATACAAAAATACTGGATTTTGTTTTAGAATCTTTAACTTTAGAAAAATTTGAAAATCTTGAGGTTTTAAATATAATAGCTAATATCTGTTGAAAATTATGTCCAGACATTATTCTAAATACTTTATTGTCATATCATTTGTTCCTCACAGGAGCCCTGCGAAGTAGGTAGTTGCATTCATAAGAGTCAGGACTCCCAATTTTATGTGCTAAAAGAAAGGGGGAAGTTGGGAGAGTATATGTTGGCTTATGTAGCCAAACTGCCACAAGGCAATGGGCAGAGCTAACTTCATGGAAGACTAGAATCTGAGGTTTGAATAATATCAGGACTTTCTTCTCTATTTTGTTTTTTTTTTTAGAGACGGAGTGTTGCTCTGTTGCCCAGGCTGAAGTGCAGTGGTGCGATCTTCTTGGCTCATTGCATCCTCCGCCTCCCAGGTTCAAGCAATTCTCCTGCCTCAGCCTCCTAAGTAGCTGGGACTGCAAGCACACGCCACCACGCTTGGCTACTGTTTTTTTTTTTTGTATTTTAGTAGAGACAGGGTTTCACCATGTTGCTGCCCAGGCTGGTCTTGAACTCCTGAGCTCAGGAAATCCACCCGCCTCGGCCTCCCAAAGTGCTAGGATTACAGGTATAAACCACTGTGTCTGGCCTCTACTTCGTTTTTTAGATAGGTTTCATTCTTGCTAGAGAATCTGTACCTAGAACCTAGTTCTGTCAATAGAGGTACATCTCCAGTGACAGATGCTTAGCAAGTGTTTAGTTAGGTGTGTGTTAAGTGAATGATTTCTTTTCTGCAGAAGAGAGCTGGGTGGGGAGTGTGGGGTCTGCTCAGCTGCGTTATTCGTTGTATAGAGAACAGGAAATACCTGTTCCTCATCAGTTCCATTTTAATGAATCCTGGTGAAAGACTCTGGCTATCACATAATCCCTTTTACCAAAGGATTTTTGACCATTAGCCTCTACAAGAACACAAGGTTTGAAGGAACCCTTCCCAGAACAAGAGGCGCTGTTCTGAGCAAACAACGCAAAGTCTACAATATTCCATTTTAATGATATAGAAATAGAGAGGTTCAGAAAAGGTAAACAAATTGACCAGGGTTACAGATGGGATGTCATAAAGGCCAGATTCAGACTTGATTTATTTATTTTATTTTTTGGGGGATCGGGGTGGTGATAAATGTTTATTTCCTGGTCATTTCTTTTTTTGAGGCAGTCTTGCTGTCTTGCCCAGGCTGAAGTGCAGTGGCACCATCTTGGCTCACTGTAAGCGCTGCCTCCTGGGTTCATGCCATTCTCCTGCCTCAGCCTCCCGAGTAGCTGGGACTACAGGCGCCTGCCACCATGCCCGGCAAATTTTTTGTTTTTTTTTTTAGTAGAGATGGGGTTTCACCATGTTAGCCAGGATGGTGTCGATCTCCTGACCTTGTGATCCGCCTGCTTCGGCCTCCCAAAGTGCTGGGATTACAGGCGTGAGCTACCACGCCCGGCCTATTTCCTGGTCATTTCTAAGAAAAGTGGCCACAACTGCAGGCCTGAGTTTAATAGACTCTTTGGCTTGTGTTCTTTCCACTTTGCCACCACATCCCATCAGTAAAAGGAGTTCTGTGAAATGAAGGACAGAAATGGGGCAGGGTAGCTTGGCAGGATGAAGTCTTGAGGGAGTGCTTGATCACCTGACACTTCTTCAGTGTGATATTGGGGTTCACAGATGCTAACTTGTTATATGGTCTTGGAACCTCTTAATAACTCCAGATATGAGATAAAAAGAGCTGGAAAAAATTGTTTTTCTTTATGAGTTATTTTGGAGAGACAAATATAAAATATGAATCATTTTAGATTATTAAATCATTTAAATAAATATTATTTTGCCATATGGTCTTTCCCACTATTTTTGAAAAACGTATAAGAATAAAAGTTAATAACTATCTGTAGGAACCACTGAAAGTGAATTAGATTGCGCGTGTTTGTAAATACTTGTTAAATAATTGCAACCATTCTTGCTTAGTGATACAAATAGGAGTTGAAAGACTTTATTAAAAAGTAATTTGTCATGAGCCAAGGTCTTTGAAGAAATGCATATAAACATTAGTATTGCTACTGCATTTGGGTTATTGCAAAAGGAGCCCTATATTTAGAACCTGATGATGTTGGAAAGATACTTTAAAATGTTGCCAGGCAAAGAGTGGCCTCAGTTATGTGTTCTAGGAATGTGTTTGATAGCATGTGTTTTATAGGACATGACTCTATAAACAGAAAGCCTACTTTCTGTAGCATGTGAAAGAAATTAGTTTGTATTTGGTAATATACCAAATAGTGTAATAGCTAGAAAAGTTGGTTTCAGCTCTTGAAAAGTCAGTTTCATGAGTCCATGATTTATACAAAGTAAAAATTCATTTCTTTTAATATGATAAAAATGAAACATGAAAGGAAGTGAAATTAATTATAGGTACTAAAATAATGAGCTTCATTAGATAAAATTGTCAGTGAATTTTTGGCATATTGTTTAAAAGCAACTAATCTCAGTTCACTTTTTAAAAAATTAGTTATTTCAAGCCAGGCATGGTGGCACATACCTGTAGTCCCAGCTACTCAGGAGGCTGAGGCTGGAGGATGGCTTGAGCCCAAGAGTTGGAGGCCACGTTGACAATATAGTGAGACTCCATTTCTTTTGTTTTTTTTTTTTTTTTTTTTTGGAGACCGAGTCTGGCTCTGTCACCCAGGCTGGAGTGCAGTGGCCGGATCTCAGCTCACTGCAAGCTCCGCCTCCCGGGTTTACGCCATTCTCCTGCCTCAGCCTCCCGAGTAGCTGGGACTACAGGCGCCCGACACCGTGCCCGGCTAGTTTTTTGTATTTTTTAGTAGAGACGGGGTTTCACCGTGTTAGCCAGGATGGTCTCGATCTCCTGAGCTCATGATCCGCCCGTCTCAGCCTCCCAAAGTGCTGGGATTACAGGCTTGAGCCACCGCGCCCGGCCGAGACTCCATTTCTTAAAAGAAATTAAGTGACTCAGTAATTGCAAGCCTTTTTTTTCTGCCTTCACTAACATGCACAATCTAATTTACTAAGAGAAGCTGACTACAGCGCAAGGGTTGTTGGTGGTAGTGGTGTTTATACCCACTAAGGGCAATATGTAGTTTGAAAGAGCTTTGCACTGAGAATTTTGCCAGTTGTTTGGTACTGTGACAAACATCTAGTTTAGAAAACAAAATGATCTTTATTATTATTATTATTATTATTAGGGCATTGTTTGTGTTTTCATGTTTTTGCTTTATTCTAAACAGATAAAGCTAATTGAACTTTTTAAAGTTAGGTCCCTTGTAGCCTAGTTGAAACACAACGTAAAATCATTTAAAAGCAAATTTAATTATTAAACTTACAGTAATGTTTTAAGTATATTTAACTTTCTAAAAATGACAGTTTTGCAAGTAAACCAAATTATCTGTGATTTTTGATATAAGAGCGATCTATCATTTAGAGCTGTGAAATAATAAAAAGCTATATACTTTTCTAGTTTTCTTTAGTATCTTATTTTTCTCTGAAAGTATCCATGTTTCTCTATGACTAGCTCTCTTTCTAGAACTCTCTGGTAGGCTATGGAATTATTTTATCTTGGGGTCATTGTTGTTTCCTTTAATAGATCTGAACCCCTAGGTTTGCTTGTGTTGTATTAAATAGCTAGTTGTTCATCCCTGGTGTTTCTGCTAAACTCCCAGAGACATCTGTGGCCCTGTGCAGAGGCCAACAACAAAACTGGTTTATATGCTTATTTCCAGGGGAACTGGAGCACTACCCTGGGGTTTGGAATGTAAGGAAGGCATTAATTGCAGCTGTTGGCACCGATTTACCCTTATGCTGTTAGGTAAATAAATCTAGTTGGTACCAGGTCTAGTGGCTGAGCCTGTTAAGTTATCACTATCACCAGTTTCATGACTTTGGGTGGCGGGCCACTTCCCAAAGTCCTTGAGCCCAAGTTAGGTGTTCCTCCTTTATGCTGTCATTGAAGCCCTCTCCCAATAATATACCCTGTACCCTGCTGTTAATTTCAGTTTGCCTGCAATCAGATGATTAGGTGAAATCTGACCAAGTAAATCTTTGGAATGTCTAATTGACAAGGAGGAAATCTAAATTACACTTTTTTTTTTTTTCTTTTTTTCAAAAGAGATAATCATTCAGGTCTTTGTGAGCTAAGGCCAAACAAACAAAAGAACACTTGCTTTGATGGACTGAATACTGTTATTAGAAGTAAATATGGAAAATGAACCAGACCATGAAAATGTGGAACAGAGCCTCTGTGCCAAGACGAGCGAAGACGAGCTGAATAAGTCCTTCAATCTAGAAGCTTCACTTTCAAAATTCTCTTACATAGATCTGGACAAGGAACTGGAGTTCAAAAATGATCTGGTAAAAATTTCAACTTTTGTCAAGTGATAATGTTTAACCAGTGTTGGTTAGAGTACGCTTTGTGACCCAGAGGCTCTAAGTCTGTCGTTTTTGCATGGGTTAATAGGAGTCTGTGTATAGTTTTTTTGTTTGTTTGTTTTTTGCTTTTTTTTTTTGTTTTTTTGGATACAGGGTCTCACTCTGTTGTCCAGGTTGGAGTACAGTGGTGCAGACATGGCTCACTGAAGCTTCAACCTCCTGGGCTCAAGTGATCCTCCCGCCTCAGCCTCCCAAGTAGCTGGGACCACAGGTGTGTGCCACCACGCCCACCTAACTTTTAATTTTTTTGTAGAGAGGGTCTCGCCATGTTGCCCAGGCTTGTCTCAAACTCCTGGACTCAAGCACTTCTCCCTTCTTGACCTCGCATGTGTGTAGTTTTATGAGATGACATTACTCTTCATCTGTATAGTCCATTACAGTTTATGAAACAATTTGATTCATGTTGTCATTTGAGCTTCACAACTCTCACAACACTCTGATAATCCATTGTGTAGATGAAGACACTGGCATGCAGCTATGTAAATGACTTCTCAAAGTCACAGAGCCAGTGGTAGGTTCCTTATCTTGCACAGCATTTTTTTCTCCCTTTGATTTAATATTATGTTAATGGGTTTCTGTGAGTATGAGGATATTTAATGACAAGTTGCTTGACCTAATTATCTCTCACCATAATTTATGAAATAACTAAGAAATATGATGTCAGACTTTTGCTTATTGCTTATGACTTATGCCTAAACTTAGAAAATTAGGGGTTTTCTTCGATGTTGTTTTGTCATGTTTAAGAAAGCAGATGCAGAAGTCTTTCAACAGAAGTTTTCTGGAAAGTAGGCTGAGCGTAGTGGCTCATGCCTGTAATTCCAGCACTTTGTGAGGCCGAGATGGGCGGATCACTTAAGGTCAAGGGTTCAAGACCAGCCTGGCCTTATGGTGAAACCCCACCTCTACTAAAAATACAAAAAAAATTAGCCGGGTGTAGTGGCGTGTGCCTGTAATCCCAGCTCCTCAGGAGACTGAGGCAGGAGAATTGCTTGAACCTGGGAGGCGGAGGTTGCAGTGAGCTGAGATCGCACCATTGCACTCCCCTGGGCATCACAGCGAGACTCTGTCTCAAGAAAAAAAGCGTTCTGGAAAGGGCTGTCAGGATAGTGCAGTTAGTGCATATATGTCCTTGATAGTAACTGAATGTGTAGATAGGAAAGGAAATCACTCTGTAGTCTTGACTTGATTATTACTATGGATTTTTGAGTTGATCATTGTGGTGGTAAGTTTGTCTTTCAATTGATGGTGATTTTAATAAACTGAAACCCCTCACAGTTATAAAGGGAAAGGCATCATTTTGTGAGCATTATTTTTTTTCTTTGTTTAGATTGATGACAAGGAGTTTGATATTCCTCAAGTTGATACTCCTCCAACACTGGAAAGCATACTAAATGAGGTAAGTGAATATTAATGATTATTGTCATTTCGTGGCATTAATCTTAATACTTTTTGGATTAGTTATAAATGCACCTAGATGCGCACTCTCCAGTAGGGTAGCCACTAGTCATGTGTGTCAGTTTAAAATTTAAATTAATTATAATCAAATACAAATTTAATTCCTTGGCTGTACAAGGCACATTTCAAGTGCTCAATAGCCACGTGTGGCTAGTGGCTACTATGTGGCTAGGGGACAGCATAGATAAAGAGTATTTCCATCATCACAGGAAGTTCTCTTGGATAGCAGTAGTCTAGATTGTGAGCTTCTCAAGGGCATAAACCATCTCTTGTTCATCTTTAGTCTCTGTGCTCAGAACAATGCCTAATACTTGGCAGACTTTAAAATATATATTATTAAGTGAATTGAGATGCAAAATTTATGTCACTTTTGAGGTTTGTATTATGTGTTGCTAATGGTTAAGTTTTCTCTACCACTGATATTCAAATAGCTTGTCCTCTGACACTAAAGAACATCTTGCAACCTTATAATAAGCTTCATCACTCTTCTACATGGAGAAAACTAATCTTTTATAGTTTATCTTATGAATGCCATTTCTATTGAAAAGTTTTTCAGAGTTTTGAAATGATGTTATTCTTTTCTGAATTGGGAGATGAAAGGCTTTCTAAAGGGGCTCTGTGAGAGTCCATGGTTGGTGAAGCACGCCTGTTTTATGTACCCTGCATCTGCTGACAACCCTTCAACTCAGTCTTCTTCATCTTTTAAAACCTTGCTTGGGACTTCCCTTGGAGGTTTTAGCTTCTAATTTGAGAAAGACCTTGCAATGTATAAATCTATTTCAAATCCGCAGTTATGTTTTCCAAAAGATAAGGACCCAAAAGTTCCCTGACAAAAATGCCCACGTATACCAAAGCTCTGAGTGAGTTGGGCCTCTGTCTATCCTATTAGGGTTATAGGCAACACTTTATAGGATACAAACTACTTTCTCTGTCAATTGTGTCTTTTATTTTTCTCATATGGCTTTTATTTCTGTTTTTTATATCAGTTTGATGTTGCTGTTACTTTGAATGTATTTTAACTTTGAATGTGTTTTAACTTCAGAAGTCTTCTATATGTTCTGTGTGAAGACTTAGGCATTTTTAGTTTTGACAAAGAAGGCTTTGGTCCATGAAAGAATATTCTGTTACAGTGAAATGTCCTTTATTTACTTTCTAATATAGAGAAAATCTTTCATTTAGAGGTGAGAAGATTAATTTTAGTCAGTTTTGTTAAAATGGCCTTAATTGCGTCCTCATTTCAATTATCTTATTAAGTGTAAAATAAAAATAATCTTAGAGAACTGTGTATAAGGCCTTGTTTGTACATCATTATATAATATCAGCAAAGAAAATAATGCTCATATGAATGAGCTGTAGTTCCCAATGAAGGAAAACTGTTCTTGCACAATAACTTTCTTATCTATGAGTAACAGTAAGTATAGTCATTAGTGGTTTACTAAGAAGATAACACTGTTATCATCCTCAATAGTAGTTTGAGTGCCTGGTGTATTTGGGTCATGGTGTTAGATGTTGGGGTTATAAAGTGCAATATGACTATCTCTGTGCTTGAGAGGAAAATGAGGCTGGGAAGTGGCCAGACTTTACACCTCCAGGGAACCAGGCAAGTCGTAAGTGGAAGAAAACATAGTTCAAATTGTAGACCATTATGAAGACTATAAGGGGGCTGTGGGGAGTAATAAAGAAAATGACTGAAGAGACAATGAAACGGGCCGAAGTAGAAAATGTAGATAAGCCCTTTTCTCAGGATATGTGGATGCATATATTCTATAATGTTCATTAATATCAACCTTAAGGGAGACTGGGAAGAAATGGACATCCAAGTTTTTTTTTTTGTTTTTTTGTTTTTGTTTTTTTGAGATTGGAGTCTTGCTCTGTCACCCAGGCTGGAGTGCAGTCGCACGATCTTGGCTCACCGCAACCTCCACCTCCCAGGCTCAAGCGATTCTCATGCCTCAGCCTCCCAAGTAGCTAGGATTACAGGCGCCCGCCACCATGCCCAGCTAATTTTTGTATTTTTAGTAGAGACAGGGTTTCACCATCATGTTGGCCAGGCTGGTCTCAAACTCCTGACCTCAAGTGATCTGCCTGCCTCAGCCTCCCAAAGTTCTGGGATTACAGGCATGAGCCACCATACCTGGCCAATACTTTTTAAAATAGAAATGTAGAGATTACTGAGACATCCTGGATCTCAGAATTTAGGGCATGAAATAATGTTACTAGATATTGCCATCCTTCGAAACTATGCTTCTTCTGAGATTTTAAATTTTGAAATTCCATTCTCTAACTATCACCTTTTCACCCTATTCCCTTCCATTGAACCTGTGTTTTGGCCTCATTAAGATCAAGTCTTTTGACCCTTTCTAATCTCCCAGTCTCTGATAATAGTCCTGGGTTTACTTCAATCCTGCTATTGGATTGTACAGCCAGAAATTTCTTTTGAACTTTTCATTGAAGTATATCATACATAGAGGAAGGTGCACAAATCATAAGTGTACAGTGTGGTGAATGTTAACAAACTGAACAACCTGTGTAACCAGAATCCAGATAAAGCAACAGAACATTACTAGTACCCCAGAAGCTCATCTTGTGTCCTTTTAGTTCCCAAACCCAGAGTAATTACTACTCTAACTTCTACTAGCATTGATTACTTTGCCTGCTTTGAACTTTATATAAATGGAATTATATAGTGTGTAGTCTTCTGTTTCTGACGTCTTTCCCTTAGTATTATGTTTTTAGATTTGTTCACATTGCTGTGTAAAATTCTTTGTGAATATACCTTTATTCATTCTACTATTGATATGTATTTGTGTAGTTTCTAATTTCTGGCTACTATGAATGCTGCTGTAAATTTTCCTATTCGTGTGTTTTGGCATATACATACTTACACACATTTCTGGGTTTTGTCTGTTTTCATTTTGTTTTTTTTGAGACAGTCTCACTCTGTCACCCAGGCTGGAGTGCAGTGGTATGATCAGGGCTCACTGCAACCTCCTCCTCCTGGGTTCAAGTGATTCTCGTGCCTCAGGCTCCCGAGTAGCTGGGACTACCAGCATGTGCCACCACACGTGGCAAAGTTTTTTGTATTTTTATTAGATACGGGGTTTTGCTATGTTGGCCAGGCTGGTCTTGAACTCCTGACCTCAGGTGATCTGCCTGCCTTGGCCCCCCAAAGTGCTGGGATTACAGGCATGAACCACTGTTCCCAGCTTTATAAACATTTCTGTTGGGCATATACCTAGGGGTGGAATTAGTGGGTCATCAGGTATAGTTATATTCAGCTTTAGTATATATTGGCACAGGTTTTCAAAGTGGTGGTTTGATATACACTTTCAGGAACAGTGTATGCGATTTCTGATTACTATATCCTTGTAAACTTTTGAATTTTTCTGTCTTTTTCACTTTCATTCTTTTTTTTTTTTTTTTTTTTGAGACGGAGTCTCGCTTTGTCACCCAGGCTGGAGTGCAGTGGCGTGAAATCGGCTCACTGCAAGCTCCGCCTCCCGGGTTCACGCCATTCTCCTGCCTCAGCCTCCGAGTAGTTGGGACTACAGGTCGCGCACCACCACGCCCGGCTAATTTTTTGTATTTTTAGTAGAGACGGGTTAGCCAGGATGGTCTCGATCTCCTGACCTTGTGATCCGCCCGCCTCGGCCTCCCAAAGTGCTGGGATTACAGGCGTGAGCCACCGCGCCCGGCTTCACTTTCATTCTTAACAGATGTGTAGTGCTATCACATCATGGTTTTAATTTGAATTTCCCTAAAGACTAATGAAATTGGGTACTTTGACATATGTTTAGATATCTCTTTTGCGAATTGCTTTTTCATATAATTAGCCCACTTCTGTTGTTTTATTTTTAAAATGATTTATAGGAGTTCTTTATGTATGCTAATACAAGCCCTTTATTTGATATACATATTGCATCTTCTTTCTTTCTGTACATTACCTTTTCACTCTATTAATAGTTTCTTTTGAGGAGCACAAGTTCTTAATATAGTTCAGCTTATTAAAAATTTCCATTTGTGTGCATGTGTGTGTCCTATTTAAGAAAATTTTTCCAATTCCAAGGTTATGATGATGTTACCCTATTTTGTTCTAACATTTTCATTGTTCCTGTCATATGTAGATCTGTAATTCATCTGGAATTATTTTTGGGTGTGATAGTGTGAGCTATGAGCCAGCAGCATGTACTAAAAAGAGTATTCTCGTCTGGTGTCACTTTTGTTATAAATCAGGTGGATATATAAATATGTGTGGATCTGAGTCCATTGGTGTGTCCATACTTGCCTCAATCTCACGTTCTAGTGATTGAAACTTTGTAATAGGTCTTGGTATCTGGTAGTTCAAAAACTTTCAGCTTTAATGTTATTCAAGATTGCCTTTTTTTTTTTTTTTGCATTTTCATGTAAGTTTTAGAATTAGTTTATCAGTACACACACACACACACACACACATACACATACACAAATCAGCTGAAATTTGAAAGGATTGTGCAGTTTTTTTCACATCAGTTTGGGGATAATTGATACTTTTGCTGTGCAGCAGTAGTTTTAAATTCAGTCTTGACATCTTCACTTCTTTTTTTCCCTTCACTTTTTCTTTCACTTATCTTGTAAGCCTGGCTTAATTCATCTGATCCATTTTCTTTAATTATGTCTCCAGACTTTTTAAGAAAATCAAATAACATTTTGATTGACTCTCTTGTTTAAGATCTTGATGCTGCCATACTTATTTTTGAATTATTTCCTTCCCTTTTCCTACAGCAATTGTTCCAATCTTTACAGCACTCAAGCAACATATTGTCTTATTGCCAGTCCTAACCCTGTTCTTAGAAGACCTATGTGTAGAGATATCTGGAAAGCAGTTATAAATTTGGACCTAAACCTTGAGAAATGTTGATACTAAAGACACAGATTTTGGAGTCATTAGATAACATGGTTCTTAAAGCTATAGATATGGGTGAGCTTACTCAAATAGGAAGTACATGAAGTAGGAAGAGAAGAAGAGAGCTTAGAGTATAATCCTGAGGGACAGTCGTATTTAAAGGTTGGGCTGAGAAGAAGCTAGCATGTGACTAATAGGAGGACACATAAATTAGCGGAGAACCAGGAAGGAGAGATGTACCGAAAACCAAAGGAAAAGAAAATTTCAAGATGTAGGGAATGAGCCAGGCGTGGTGGCATGCACCTGTAGTCCCAGCTACTTGGAGGCTGGAGTGGAGGATTGCTTGAGTCCAGGAATTTGAGGCTCCAGTGAGCTGTGATTGTGCTGCTGCATACTGGCCTGGGTGACAGGGAATGGTCAACAGGGTTAAATGATGCCTGGAGGACAAGAACACACTAACAGAAAGCAGACCAGTAGATTTGGCTAGTAACATCAGCAAGGTTGGTAGGAGCTTGTAATGAGTGGAGTCAAGGTAGTGAGTAGACATTAATCTCTCAAGCACATTGATTGGAAATGGTAAGGCAGAAGGTAGTGCAGCTGAAAGAGACGGTGAGACATCATTCTCTGATATTTGTCACCCAGAATCAACTTGTGCAAAGCCAAGTACCTCATCCTGCTTTATCTGCCATTTGTCTGCTTTCTAGTTTCAGTGAGTAGAATCACCCTTTGCCTAGTTATAGAAGCTGGAAACCTTGTACTCTTCTTTGACTTCTCCCTTACCTCTCCTCCCATCTGTACCCCTACTCAATCCCCCATTTCAATGGTAACCAGAGACGTTTGATTTTTTCTCAGTAATGTGTTTCATCATTCCCTCTGTTGACCTCTTCTGCAGCTTCTTAGGTTGGGATCTCCTGTTTCTCCTTGATAGTGCAATGGCCCTCTTACTGGTCTTTAAAGTCTTCTTGTTTCCCCTCATCCATTCTTCATACTGCCCCACTCATCTTTGTAAAACATGGTTCCCATCATGTCTTTCCACTTCTTAAAAATGTCAGTTGCCTTCCCACTGCCTGCTATATATAGTATACTGAATACTCATTAAATGAGTACTGGTTATGTGTCAGGCATTATACTAGGCACTAGAGGTACAATGATGAACAAGATAGACATGGGCCCTGCTGCCATCTAGTGTAATGGAATATAAGGCTTTTTATGGTTTGGGTACCAGCTTATCTTTCTAGGGTCATCTCCAGCTTCTGCTTATATCCTCCAGACATTTTGGACTACTACTTTTCCCATGGACAAAATCTGTATTGTGAAATCACTGAGTCTTTCTGTGCTGTTTCCAACCCGAATGCCTTTCTGCTGTCTGCTTGTCATATTTTTTTATAGTAGACTATTTATAGTCAGATGGTGTTTGTTTTCTTCAAATGAGCCATTGGCTGTTAGTTAACTGCTAAATCATCTGTAAAAGCTTGATTTTTAAGAAATATTCTATAGCTAACAGTAATCTGCATAACGGCTTCTGCTTCTTCCTGCTACAAGAAAGAAGTTTTTGGGGTGACTTCTTTGTAGAAAGAAATAGCTATCTAGAATTTAATACTAATAATTCTGTATGGTGCCTTTCTGGTCAATAAGAATGCATGGAATGGAGGTGAAAGGCAGAAATAAGCACTTGTGTGCTCTGGAGAAACCCATTAATACCTGTCTTATTTCATAGAGTATTTGGATTTTGAATGTATTGATTTATCTTCTTCCAATTTAGACTGATGATGAAGATGAGTCTTTTGTTCTTGAGGATCCTACATTGTTAAACATTGATACTATTGATTCTCACTCCTATGATACTTCATCTGTGGCAAGCTCAGATAGTGGTGACAGGACCAACTTAAAGAGGTAGGTATTCATGTAAATCATACTTGCTTACAATTGAAGTATTTAATTGTTTCAAATGTAAATATTGTACTCTATTGTACTTTTTAAAGTACAATATGGTCTGTTGAAGCCTTGCATAGGAAGTAGAAGGGATATAATATCTTGAAGATTTTGGCACCATTAAGGAAGAAGGTAAAAGGGTAGGTGCTATGACCACTTCGGTAGGAAGCCATAATGATAGCCAGGGACTCCTGGAAGCAGGAGAGCCCTTGGAGGAAGTACAGATTAAACCTGGCACAGTGTCTGTGGTGGAAACATGCAGCTTGGTTCACTACCCTTCTGTTCTGCGCACCCTCCCGCACCTCCCTGTCACCTGCATTCTCTAAGATCGGCCTTCATTCTCTTGGAGTGGGTTCAGAGAATCACAAAGATGATTAAAATTTCAGGAAGAAGACTTCTAAACCTAAATAACTTAAATTTGGGCTGCTTTTCACCTTCCAATTCTTGGAGAGAATATGAAAAGGAAAGAGAAGTGGAGAAATCGTAAATACATTATTGAAGTCATGTGTAACTTTAATATTGATAAAGTGATCTGTTTTTCTTCTTCAATTTTGCCGGTGTCAGTGCTCTTTTCTTTAGGTTATCTCTTATGGGATAGGGGACGTTGCTGAACAGGACGTTATGTTAACCTGTTCAGCAATGTGTCCTTCAAATAGATAACTTAAATGTTTTTGATGATCTGGTTACTACCTGCTTAAAAGATACGGTGTCATTGGCCAGGCGTGGTCTCTCACGCCTGTAATCCCAGCACTTTGGGAGGCTGAGGCAGGCGGATCACGAGGTCAGGAGATCAGGACCATCCTGGCTAGTACGGTGAAACCCCGTCTCTACTAAAAATTCAAAAAATTAGCTGGGTGTTGAGGCAGGTGCTTGTAGTCCCAGCTACTCGACGGGAGGCTGAGATAGGAGAATGGCATGAATCTGGGAGGCAGAGCTTGCAGTGAGCCAAGATCGCGCCACTGCACTCCATCCTGGGTGACAGAGGGAGACTCCATCTCTAAATAAATAAATAAATAAATAAAAAGATATGGTGTCAGCTTGTCACCTACAAGATTAAGTCAGAACTCCTCTGCATGGCCTCAGTCTGGGCCATGCTTACTGTTTTGACCTAATCTCTAAGCGCTCGTACTTCAGCCCTCCTAGTCCATACTTTTTGTGTGTGTATACCCCAGACACACTGCACACCTTTACATCTTCATATTTCTGCCCATGCTTTTTGCCTGACAAACTCCTAGTCATCCATTAAGGTCAAATTAGTCATCTTCTCTTTTCTATAGCTATCCTTAATGTCCCCCAAATAAACAGAATTAAACTGTTTTTCATTTGCATTTATATGGCACTTAATTCATATTTCTAGTGTAACATTCATTCTTTAGAGTTACTTCTCAGCCTCTCTAAGCTGTGAGATCCTTGACAGTAGTAACTGTGACTTTCTTATTTTTGTATTCCCAGAGCATACTTCTAGTCATACAGAGTAGGTGCTCAGTAATGTTGGGTAAAAGTTTAAAAGTTACTTTTTATATGAGGATGAGTAGAAGGGGGATTTGAGGAAGTGGTTGAAGAATGAGAGGATGGTCATAGGAGGAGCAGCAGCGCAGGAAAGGTGAGCAAGGGTAAGAAGGCAGTAGGGTAATGTAGACTTGCAGGCCGGAGGAGTGCTCTGTAGTCAGGCTTCTGGAGAACATGAGAACCTACTGTCGCATTTCCTAAGGTGGGCATGGAGCAGTTTGAATTGTGAGAAAGGAATGGTGATTTGATTCATTTTCCTGCTTGTGCTTCTTTGAGGTTCAAGGCGGGTTTAATACATTTTAAGGTGAGATTGTTAGATACTTCATACATCTTTTAAAAACAGATCTAACAAGTAACATACAATGTTGTCTTCTGCTTTTTGTGCGTGTGTGTTTTCTTTCAAAGCATTGGGACCTCGCCTTTTCACTTTTTTTGTCTGTTTTTAAATGTTTTTCTTTATTTTTAGGAAGAAGAAATTACCTGATTCTTTTTCACTCCATGGATCAGTTATGCGCCATTCACTTTTGAAGGGAATTTCTGCCCAGATAGTGTCTGCAGCTGTAAGTATTTTGTTTTTTTTCCCTCAACTTTGTAACCTACAATGGCATAATAAAGTAGGAATGAGCATAAAACAAAATACAGCACTTCTCTTGGCCCGAGGCTTAAGAAAAATAGAATCTGGCTTTCATGGTTTTTGTGTGACATGGCTACACGTCTTGACATAGAAATTAGTGCAGCCATGAAAATAAAGTTCTGCTCAGAGTCTAGGCTGTGCCTAAATGAAATATGGCAGCAAGCCGAAAATAAATACTGTCTTTTCTTTAAATTCCTTTTCTGTTTAGTTGCCATCTTGTGTATTTGTTGAGATTCTGTGCTTGTTTTTTTTTTTTTTTTTCACTCTTTTCATATGGGGAAATGATCAGAATCTTTTACAACTTGAATGATTTTTTTATAATTCACAAAAGTATTTTCATGCCCCTTATTTCTTTTATTCTTACAACTTGGAAAGTAGGTAAAGCTGTTTTCTATTTTACAAATGAGAAGATAGGCCCAGAAAGGTGATAGTAACTTGTCTTAGATCATTCTGTTAGGAGGTAGCAAGGCATTTATTCAAAACTGGGGTTTCTGGCTTCAAGTGTAGTGCCTCTGTTGTGAACTGGAGGTGGCACTGGTGAATGTGGCGAATGTGTGAAATGGCTGGAACAGAATATTTGTGGCCTTTTTTGAAAATTATGTAGAGCACTGGGTTAACGTAAACAGTATTTAACGGTCCATAGATGGCAGACTTTTCGTTTGACACTATCAGACTTTTCTTTTGACCTCACAGCCGGTAGTTTTATGTAGTCTTTCAGTTTTGGTTTTCTGAATACAATGTATAGATTCTATATATAATGATAATGACAGATTTATACTCCAGGAAGTTTGATGTGTTTTTATGTTCTTTTTGGGGCATTTAATCGGCATTTTGCATATCCAAGTTGGACAAGAAATAAAAGTTTGGATTTTTCACGAGGGTGAGAGATTGATACAGAATTACAAGATACCACAATTGCATTTCAATTTTCAGGTTTATCAGAAAAAGCCCTTAGTGCAAATACCAAAAAAAAAAAAGTATTTACTATTACAGTTGGTGTATCCTGACCTAGCTCATATATCATGAAGTAAATTTAAATAGAGAGATGCTCAACAAGCAATGGAGGAAACCTGGGCAATTGTTTTTCCTCTTTTAGGTGGAGAGTAACTCATATTTGCTAGAATGGGAACCACCTGTTGAGGATTACATTTCCATGACGTTTTCTGAATTTAATCCTTATGTAGGTGATGAAATTCATTCCTTTCAAAATCAAGATGAACCAGAACAGTCATTTGACCCACCTGTGCAGTTTTAAAAATATTTTGAATATTGGAGACTGAGCTAAAACTCAGACTCTGAACAATGATTAGATAAATCTGTTATTTAAAAGGGTTTCTCCTTCCCCTTGAAGAGGAGGGGAAATTCTAATAAATCCCAGAGTGTTTGCATTCTGTTTTTATTTCATTGCTATGGCTGAGCTCCTTTGGTATGTTAAAATGAAAACTGCCTTTCCTGTGACAGTCATCATACGGTGCCTTCCTATTTTTGGATTACCAGCTCAATTTAAATTGCATGCTTTCCTGTGATGGTTGGTTTATTAACATGTAAAGCTAGTTATATTTTTGGATATTTCTTCCTGAATAATTGCTCAATAGCGCCTTCAACCATATGGTTAGTGATGTTATTAGGCCTGCTTTGGGCCTTGATCACAGTTTTGGGGTTCATGCATGGAAAACACTTAGGAGAGATGAAATTTTTGCAGTTCTGAAGCTTGTTTTTTAATTTGGGATCCTTTTCAAAGTCGTATGACATGTGACCATACTTTAAAATAATTCAAAGTAACTTTTTTTTTTTTAAGGATCTTTATTATTTTTACGATCAACTTTAAACTACTAGAGATAGCTTATTGTAGTGTTTTTTTCAAAATGCGTCCGCTGTATAACAATCTCCTAGGGTACTGATTAAATTGCAAATTCCTGGGGCTCACCCCAGACCTAAAGAATCCCAGACATACAGGCATCCCAGGTGATTCTCATGCATTTTAGCTTTTGAGACCCACTACCCTTAGATATTGCAACACCAGTACTAAAATTCTGTAATCTCTACAATGCTGCCAAATATCTGTGTTTTTTTAGCTTTTGAAGTCAGGCGACTTCTGATTTCATTATTCAGGCTCTATTTTGAATGTAGAATAGGCCTTCGAATAACATCATTTTGTTCAATGTCGTTTTGTTATAATGTTATTGAAGAAAAAAACAATTGGTTTAAGTTGTTTTGCTTAAAGTCACAGTTTTCAAGAACTTACTGACAACATTAAGTGAGGTCTTACTAGAGTTTATGACCTTTATCTGCTGTCCCATTTCTCTTTTTCCCTGTCTAGATGCAAATTAATCATTTATCAACTATGTATTACATGCTTCTTAATTGTCGAGCATTATGTTAGGCATGTTTGACACACAGATATATATATACACTCAAAGTTGGATAGATGCTGCTATATGCAAGCTCTTTGCTACTACAGTACTGTATCACTACAAACTCTTAGGGTTATTTAAAGCTATGTAAGCATAGAATTGATACTCTTCCATATTTATCTGATTCTTCACATTTAATTTGATCCTCAGGACAGCTCACTGAGGTAAATAGGGCAGTATTTGCTATTTCTTTGAACAGATGAGGAGACTAATATTCAGAAAAGTTAGGTGACTTTTTGAATGCCATGTAGTTACTGGTAGGGAGGTGGGACTAGCACTTCTTTATGTTTTAGTTTCTTATGCTTGAGAACTGACTTAATATACCCTGTTGGGGTTTATTTAGAGGTTATTGGGTAATTGCTAGATAGGAAAGTCCTACTTAGTAGTAGAAACATCTTTAGCATGTTTACTTTTCTCAAATCTTTATGTACTCCTACTGTTTTGACCCCATAGTACTTATAGTTTATTCAAGTACAGAAAATGGAACATCTTTCCTCTTTTTCCTTTGCATTTCCATTATAATCAGTACCCTCCCTGAGGCATCTTACTTCGTAAAGGCACTTATATACTTAGTAAAATAAAGCAATCCTCTTTCATGCCCTTTGTATTTTGTTGGTATATATAGCTTTTGTGATTTCTCTTAGATGGGGGCAAAAATAAAGGTTCCACCTCTAATCGAAATTGATTTGGACCAAAGTGTCTGGAAAGCAAGAGCCTTATACAATTTTCTGTTTTAAAAGTGAGAATATTTTTCAAATACTTTCTTTAAAATTTCATTTAGGACAAAGTAGATGCTGGCTTGCCTACAGCAATTGTAAGTATACTTGAACTTTTTAAAGGTAAGCTTTTTATTTGATTGGGTTTTCTTAGATTTATTATTACATGGTTCAAAATATTACGTAAATTATTATGGTAATAAATTCATAAGTCATTTTACTACCAGTAATCAGGCTTAACATTTGTCCATGTTGGGTGCTTTCTTTTTTCCTAATTTTTTACTTTTTAGGGTTTTGTTTGAGAAGCAGATAATGGAGTAATACTAGCCTTCTCCAGGTTTGTTTGTGGTACCACCCTGCCCAAGTAAATTTACTTCTTCTGTGATTTGGCTCCCCTTCCATAAGGAGTGGAAAGCATCATTTGATAGGATCACTTTGTGGTAAATAGCACATTTAATAGCTCTGGATTGCGTTGGCAGGCTTGCCAAATAGAACTCTGCTGCAGTATTGTAGAGAACTAGGGGATATTGAAAACATACTGGTTCTCTCTCTTCTTGTCGTCCTCCAGTGCCTTTTTAGCTTTCCTTTTAGTCAGTCTTTGGTAAGGAAGTGGGTGAGTTTTCAACACTTTGGATGCCTTTAGGCTCCTGTGGATAAACTAGAGAATTGTGTTCTCATCTCTTCCCCAGGCCTTGTAGGAAGCTCTTGGTTGGGTAGCATAAGTGCCTCTTACTTTGCCTGGACCCCTGATTTTTTATTTGAAAGTTGCTTTAGAGGAAGCTAAGTGGCATGTTATTGCCTATAATGTTGAACATATGATATTTTGATAGTGTTACTTCTAGAGTAAATTTAGAGGGATTCTCAGAAATAAAATGTCCTGAGTTTCATTTCCCGTTTTGCCTCCTGGATGAAATTCTTCTTATTTACAATAGTTTGTATGTCATCTGGTGCCTAGAGGAAGGAAGACCAACAAATTCAACTCTGATTATTTCAAGATTCTTAATGTAGTATCTTAAAATGTAATCTTCCCTTTTGTTTTCAGGCAGTGTCCAGTCTGATAGCAGTGGGTACATCTCATGGATTGGCTTTAATATTTGGTAAATTTTTTAAGTGCTTTCCTGCTTTTAAATATTGTCCTTTTGGGTTTTATAATGTCCTTTAATCACAGTTTATATAGTGTACTTGATCTTCTTGAACAAAACCAGAAAAACTTGAAAAGTAGCAGTCAGTATTTTTATAGCTAAAAATTATTTGAGTCACAGCTTTGTTTTGCTGCTTATTGCAAGTTTGTTTTCTTCTTCATGAATTTATAAACTGTCATATCTATTGATCTCTCTGCAAACCTAGACACAAAGAATAAAGTTGAGGGGAACCTTGGGTTATCATCTTGTCTGCTTCCAGTTGTTGGTGGTGGGAATTTTTGATTCTGAATCACGTTCCCGTAATGGGTATTCTAAAAGATCTTCCGGAAAACAGGCTTTCTCAGTAATTTTCAGGAGCTCTCACTGACAATAAGCTTTTTTAAAAATTTCCAATGTAAATTGCTCTAAACCGAAATTTTTTTGGCCTGTAATCACATTGCTTTCTTGGTTGAAAGAGGACTAGTTTTATTTGTATAGTAGCAGATAGTTGTATTTTCTCATTTTTTTCTACCTGAGACTAAATGACTATAGTTTCATTAAACCTTCTTTGTTTTTGAATTCAATGTATGAATAGAATATTTTGTTCTTTTTAAATTAAAAAACTATTAGATTTTTGTGGCCGGACACGGTGGCTCATGCCTGTAATTCTAGCACTTTGGGAGGCTGAGGCAGGTGGATCATCTGAGGTCAGGAGTTCGAGACCAGCCTGGCCAACATGGTGAAACCCTGTGTCTACTGAAAAAAATTAACTGGGTGTGGTGGCGGATGCCTGTAATCCCAGCTACTCGGGAGGCTGAGGCAGGAGAATCGCATGAACCCAGGAGGCTGAGGTTGCAGTGAGCCGAGATTGTGCCACTGTGCTCCAGCCTGGGCAACAGAGTGAGACTCCGTCTCAAAATAAATAAATAAATAAAAAATAAAAAACTGTTAGTTTTTTTGAGGGGTCATTTTTAGTGTTCTCTTCTGGATATTAAGTTGTTTCATCTCCCTTAAATGAAAGACTTGATGACACTGTATTTAGTAAGGAATCTACAGACTATTTTATATGGATTACCTGAGAATTCTTAATAGCAGAACCACAATTTGACTTCTGTGGGGCCTTGCATCCTTATTTACTGTATAAGTGGATAACTAGTTATTTTCTGTTGGTTTTGAATGATTTGACTTACTATTATGAATTTTGTATTATGACAAAAGCTTTTTAAAATGTAATTGTAAAACCTAGTCTTTTCAAAGGCAATTGAGTTAGATAATAGAGTTTTATTATTTGGGGACCAGAAGAGTAGAAACAAAATTATAATTCCCTTGAAGGAATTTAGAATTGGTTGAAAAAGACTTAAAACCTAGATAGTTGATATATATTCATAGTAGAAAATATAGATGAGCAAAAAGTTGAAGATATACCAAATCCTGCCATCCAGGAATAATCCCTAACATTTTTTGTATGTAACCTTTTAGTCTTTTTCTTCTGTACTTGTATATATGTATCTATACATCCTCAAATGGGATCATGTCAATTTGTAAACTGCTTTTCATGATAATGAATATCTTTCCATGAAGTTATATATTTTGTCTGTAACATTTTTAATGGCTACATAGTATTCTATTAAATGGATTCTTCCTAATTTACTTAATCATTTCCTACTATAAGACATTTAAGTTGTTTGTAAACGTATAGTACTGTGATGAACATCTTTGTTACTACATTTCTGTGTCCATGATTACTTTTTTAGGACAGATATTCCTAAAAGTGGAATTGCTTGGATTAGGAGATGAACATTAAGAATTTTGATATGTATTATCTAATGGCCCTCTAGAAAAGTTCTATCAGCCTTCTCTCCTATCAGGTGTTCAGAATGGTGGTCTTCCTGTGGGGCATAATTAATGTTAGATAAATAGAATTTTGGGAAAGAATCTTAGTCATTTAGTTCAGTCCCCTTATTTTACTTCTGAGGCTGTTGAGGACCAGAGAGGTTAAGTGACATGCACAGAGCCAAGTTCAGCCAAGTTCATTGAGGAATGCTGAATCCTATATAAGTGTATTTCCACTGTTCTAAGCAATTCTGCTATCCTGAGAGAAAAGGAGGCCAATTCTAAGATAAGAAGAAAAGAATAAAAGAACTAAGGTGAAGGAGAATAGATTATAATGCATATATTTGTCAGCAAATTGCATGTTAATTTTTTGTTCCCACTTACCAGTACTCATTTCTCACCTCTATCTGCTTTAACATCCTTTTCTTGTCAATGTTATAAGAATATGTGACTGCTTATAATCAAACTCAAGTATAGCTTACTGCAAACAAATTAAAATGAATACTTTACAAACAAAAACTAACAGAGGAAAAGACAACATTGTCTTTTGATACTGTCTTTAATTTCCTTGGGCCTGGTTCCTGATTTTTTTTTTTTTTTTTTTTTTTAAAGACCCAGCAGCTTTCCTGTAGATATGAGAAAATAATAATCTTTCATTACAGTCTCATGGAAAAGAAAGTATGTCAAAGTGAACATTTTGAGAAAGAATCATAATATTCTGGTTGTGCTTTGGGTATTAATAGTGTGGCTAATAAATTTTACTCATTACTGTTTATAGGAATCAGATGTTTGGACAATGTGTTTTAACAAATAGATTAAAGTATGCTTGAAAGCCTGGGAACAAATGGCAGAGTAATAATACTATAAAGTGTCTAGAGGCCTGGGTTAGATCTCATCTCTGTTAAACATCTGTATTGATCATAGGAGAAAGTGTAACAGGAAGAGCTATACTTGTTTAAGTACTATATGTTTCTCTTTGAAACAGAGGCCCAGGTCATTAAGATAGAAACTATTATAAGTTTCTTGAAGACTAATGTTTATTGCCTCTTCTTAAGTAATTATAGGCATATAGCTTTTTAAAAAATATGTTGGTACTTACCTTATACAGAGTCTCAAAAGTTCAAATCTTAATAAAGATGTTTCCCCTTCCCAGGGGGCCTTAGTTTTCCTCTTTTTTTTTGGTTGTTAGTGTACTTTAGTAGATTATCTTTTTGAAATTGTTTTTGTATTTATCTCACTTAAACATGGATTTACTTACTTTGCTATAATGAGAGTATTATGGATTTTTTTTTCCCATAACCATAGCTGAGCATAATCATAAATGCTAGAGACGTCACTTAATCACATTTAGTATCATTCCCACAGATAACTAAAGCTTGTCACGTATATTCTTGAAATTTTTTACCTGCCTTTTCTTCGAACTTTTGAACTGATTTCTTGCTTTTGTTTCTCTCTCTTGATCTTTTCTTCATGGATTCAAAAGGAAAAGGTATAGTAAGTAATTTTAGTTTGCATGAATGATTTCTTTTCTTTTGGCTTTTTTAATGTTAGAAGAATGCTACCAATTATAGTCAGTGTCCTCTTGTGAAATGCTTATTGGAAAAAAACCAGCTAATTGAAAAATTAGTTAAGCAGGAAATTGTGAAAAACTATAAGTATATATATACCTTCAATGTTTTAACTGAAAATACATAAATTTTCATTTATCCTTGATCTTTTGTTGTAGTCCCAAACTTTTTCTTTGAGTTTGTATTTGCCCCTTGGAGTCCTGAAGTATCTTTTTTGGCATAAACTTTATCATTAATGGGTCATGCAAAATTTGCCATTTTAAGTTTTAAAAATGAGGTAAAAGCTTAAGCACCTGTGAATCAATCATTGCATGCAAAATCCTGTTATATTATGAACACCTTATTTTGTGACAGTTTTGTAAAGAAACTCATCTTTACCAAGTTTTTCTAAACCATCCATTTAATGTTCATGGAAACAACAGCTCTTTCTTTTTCACTCTGTTTCATTAGTTTATTTACTGTTTAAGTTTTAAAGTACCGTAACATTACAGTGGCATGAACAGGCTTGGGAATGAACACAGCTGACTCATAGTAAGCATCAGCATTCTGGAAGATATCCAACTAGCCATGGGGATTCAGTATGCCCTGGCTTCAGTCAGTAAGCCTTACAGAGGGAAGGAGAACTTGAATTCTGTGAGTTGGTTTGATGGAGGTCAGGTAAAAGTGCTTCTGTTGTTTTATGATCATTGATGAAAAATGTTTCCTGATTAGATCTTTTCTCCCTTGATCCTAGAGAATATTTTAGTGTGAATAAAGGATAAGAAAAGGCCAGATGTGGTGGCTCACGCTTGTAATCCCAGCACTTTGGGAGGCCAAGGTGGGCAGATCATTTGAAGTCAGGAGTTCAAGACCAGCCTGGCCAACATAGTGAAACCCGTCTCTACTAAAAATACAAAAATTAGCCAGGTGTGGTGACATATGCCTGTAATCCCAGCTACTTGGGAGACTGAGGCAAGAGAATTGCTTGAACACAGGAGGCGGAGGCTGCAGTGAACTGAGATGGTGCCAGCCTGGGTGACTGTCAAAAAAAAAAAGGATAAGAAAAGAGTAGCATTAAAGAATAGTGAATATTGGCCAATAAAGGTAGAGTTCCACACACACAATTAAATTGGATTCCTGCTAGGATGTAGGTATTTCCTTCTTCGATAGTCTTTAGAACTAATTAAAACTAATTGAGGGTAAAGAAATAGAAGATTGGGCTAATTTTGGTATATGGAAAGAGTTAACAGAAATTCTTGAAGTATGTTCAAATTTAGATTTTAGGGCTATTACAGACTTTGTACATTATTTGAGACTTTTCTTTGCTATTCAGCATGTTATTCTTAAGTCCAGAATATGCTGAGGAGATCTACTCTAAGCAAAGTGTACTTTGAAAGACATACTAATAAAAGATACAGATATAATTCAGGGCAATGCTAAATAGATGTGCTGTTTGTGATATTTGGCCTTCAAGTTATCTAAATTAATTGGTAAGCTATATTACTGTCATAAACAATAATTCCTTGCATTTGTGCCATTTGATGATTTTCTAATTTTTCATAGGCAAAACTCTTTGTCGACTCAGTGAAGTTTGTAAGAAAGGTGATAGTCTCATTTCATATTTCTTGCCAGGGTAACCATTATTAAGACCCACTGCAATTTTTTTAAAACACAAATTTGACAGTACTAATCAAAGATACCTTTATATGACTTTGAAATGAAATTAGATATACTGTTAATTTAATAACTTTTTCCAACTGTAAACAAAGGAGACTTCAGAGAGGAGGAGGAGAAAAGAATTTTTCCTTCTAAATTCATGAAATGAAGAGTAATCTGGAGTGGCTCTCATTTTCACCTTCTGTCCAGGTCATTTTGTTCTTTACATGTATCCATGGAATTTAAGTGTTTTGAAGAGGTTTTATGTTTATTTTGCTCAAATACCATTTCCCAGAATTGTCCAGAATTTTCTGGACTACAGAATGTTTAGTTACTCTAGCAGGAGAAACCTCTTCAATAAGACTGCTTTCTTCTTTCCACAGAAAGTCTACCTTTTCTGAATTTAGTCTAGATTATATAACAGCAAGTTTGTTAAAATGGTACTATAAGGATAGAATGTATGAAGAGGAGTGGCCGGCCACAGTGGCTCAGCCTGTAATCCCAGCACTTTGGGAGGTTGAGGTGGGCGGATCACGTAAGATCGGGAGTTCGAGACCAACCTGACTAACATGGAGAAACCCCGTCTCTACTAAAAGTACAAAATTAGCCGGGTGTGTTGACGCATGCCTGTAATCCCAGCTACTTGGAGGCTGAGGCAGGAGAATAGCTTGAACCCGGGAGGTGGAGGTGCTATGAGCTGAGATCATGCCATTGCACTCCAGCCTGGGCAACAAGAGTGAAACTCCATCTCAAAAAAAAAAACAAAACAAAAACGAATGTATGAAGATGGTAACAAGAGTTTGATAAATATCTTTATGGAGTCAAAGTAGATTACATTTGTTACACTGTCTATCATGTCTCTCACCATCCCTGCTGATTTTTTTAAATGTATATGTGAATGTAATCTATAGATTAGTTTGTGATGAGCACTTAATACTATTCAAGGGACACTGAATTGGTTCCTTGGTGCATTATCTTACTTTACTCATTTATTCCTCTTAGCAACACAGTGAGATAATGGGCATTTTCTACATTTTACAGATGAAGATAGGGAGGCTAAGTGAATTTAAGTAACATTCCTAAAATTACCAAGACATGCTGTAGTTGTAAGGCTCGTAACTATCTGTGGGGTAGGGGTGGAATTAAAATCCAGGTATCTGGTTTCATAGTCACGATACCTTCTAAAGGGACATTATAAAAACAACAAATACATTGTAAAAAATCAAGAAAAAAGTTGAGAATGTTTCCATTAACAGATTTGTGGGCTGTGAATTTAATCCATATTTCAGGAATGGCTAAGATTGATAATTTACTTCCCTGTCTTAGCTAGTTGATGGTATGTGGGAACAGCAGTCAGGAAGGCATGGTCATGTTTGGTTTTTAATCTGGAAGTTATGTCCTTTTCCTTCCCTCATTTCGTCCATTGCCACTCTTTTCTATTTCCTCTTCATGGTACCCTTACTCTCTTTGTTATCATATCCTCAGTTATCCTATTCATACTTCCTGTGCCTGAAATAGTCTGATATAAAGTTTAACATTTAACATTGTTAAATTAGAAAGTAGTAGTGAGCCGGGCGCGGTGGCTCAAGCCTGTAATCCCAGCACTTTGGGAGGCCGAGGCGGGTGGATCACGAGGTCAGGAGATCGAGACTATCCTGGCTAACATGGTGAAACCCCGTCTCTACCAAACATACAAAAAACTAGCTGGGCGTGGTGGCGGGCGCCTGTAGTCCCAGCTACTTGGGAGGCTGAGGCGGGAGAATGGCGTGAACCCGGGAGGCGGAGCTTGCAGTGAGCCCAGATCACGCCACTGCACTCCAACCTGAGAGACACAGCGAGACTCCATCTCAAAAAAAAAAAAAAAAAGAAAGTAGTAGTGAGAGTCTTTACGTATTGGTGAATCAGAACTCTGTGAAGTTTGGATCTCAAAGCAGGGGCTACAGAGGATCTTGGTAGTATGCTGCTTAGACATCGCTCTGTGCCTGGAAGGCAAGCGGCGCAAACTCCAGGGTATGAAATTTCATACCAACTCTTTCCTTGTCCTCTTACTTTCAGTCCATCTGTTAGCTATACATGTGACCCGGAGTAGAGGTATATATGGGATACTATTGCCCAACCATCATATCATGACAGTTTGCAAATTAAGATATGTGGAAAATCCACTAACTATACAGGGTGGCTCTGATGAAATAAGGATCATGCAAAACATTAAGTAGGTAGTTTTGGAAGAGCAAAATAAAATGTGATGTTATATTTAGAGTCAGGAAAATTATAGAATAAAGGGAAGTTTTATAATTTGGATTAAATCAAGGAAGGGTGAAAAAATTGTAAGGGGGAGAACAGTCAGGATGTATTGAAAAATATCTGTAGTTGTAAAACTCTAGATGTGAATAAAGACAGTAACTTTTAAAATACATCAGACCTTGTATATTTATGAGTTTTATTCCTTTTCAATGTTCACCTTGGAAAGCTAAAATCCAAAATGAGTGAAAAAAATCAAGTATGTTCTGTGTGCTATGTAGTTACACTCATTGTTTCAGAACTCCTTTTTGGGAAGGGGGGATTTCTATTTAAGTCTGTTTGTGAGCACAGAAAAATACTCTTACAGTATTCACTTTGAATGGACAAAAGGACTGACCTCATATTATTCCTTAGACCTGAGAATGAATGACTGTGTCTGATAACTAGATTTACTCTTATAGAAGGAGAATTGGCAAATGTGAAAGCTTTTCAGATGATTGTCAGATGCCTTCTAAGCACAAGGCATTAAGCAAGGTACTTTGGGAGTGTTAATTCAGCCATAATCTTAGCCCTCAGAGAGGTCATAGTGTAATAGGGAAAGTAAGACATACCCCCAAATTTGCATGTAGATAATTAAGGGAGGCACAAACAGTGCTGGGGAAGTTGAGAAAACTCCAGGTTGTGGAAATATGGTGTTTTTTGCTTTTTTCTAAATAATTATATTTTGTAGGCATGCCTTCTGACATTTAAATTTTTAAATTCATTGTTTTCAAGTGTGTATAATAATGAACTCTAGACAAAATAAACATTGCCTAGGAGAAACCCTAGAGAAATTTCTATTAATTATTAGATAGCAGAATTTAGTAAATATTTGAGTGCCTCCTGGAGAAATCAGAGGTGATTAAGGCAAGATCCTCGCCCTTATCAAACTTAATCTAATAGATATTTGAATTACTTGCTTTAGCTTTTTGTTGTTGTTTTTTGAGACAGAGTCTTGCTCTGTCGCCCAGGCTGGAATGCAGTGGCATGATCTCGGTTCACTGCAACCTTTGCCTCCTGGGTTCAAGTGATTCTCCTGCCTCAGCCTCCCGAGTAGCTGGAATTACAGGCGCCCACCACCACACCCAGCTATATTTTTTATATTAGTGGAGATGGGGTTTCACTGTGTTGGCCAGGCTGGTCTCGAACTCCTGACCTCAAGTGACCCTTCCTTCCTCAGCCTCCCAAAGTGCTGGGATTACAGGTGTGAGCCACCATGCCCAGCCACTTTTAGCATATCAAATTTTGATGTTTGAAATAATTTTCTGAAGTCGTTTAAATGTTTACTCTGTAATTTGCACTGTTAATTTGCTTAGTAAATTTTCTTTATGGATAATATAAATGTAAATTTCAGCCAAATTCTAAATTAAATTTCTTGAGTTTTGAAGTTTTGTAGTTATTTTAAAAGACGATGGTATTCCCCATAACTTTGCATCTTAAAAATAGCAAGAAATACAATTCTAGGATGAGACAGATGACGGTTTGTTTAAGGAGATACAGATTTCATATGGATTTTTTGGCTTATCGTTAGCATTTTATATTATGCTTTCTTGTAGATCTTTTTTTTTTTCTGTATTCTTTTTTATTTATTTTTTTTTTTGAGACCGAGTCTCACTCTGTTGTGCAGGCTAGAGTGCAGTGGTGTGATCTCAGCTGACTGCGACCTCTGCCTCCCGAGTGTAAGTGATTCTTGTGCCTCAGCCTCTCGAGTAGCTGGGCAGCCTCTTGAGTAGCTGGGACTACAGGCGTGAGTCACCATGCCCAGCTAATTTTTGTATTTTTAGTAGAGATGGGGTTTCACCATGTTGGCCAGGCTGGTCTCGAACTCCTGACCTCAGGTGATCCACTCACCTCGGCCTTCCAAAGTGCTGGGATTACAGGCATGAGCCACCACGCCGGCCTTTTTTTTTCTGTATAATTCAATGCCCAGCATCTGCTAGTTGCCCAGTAAATAGATTTAAAAATGAATGTGACTTCATTGTCTGCTGCTTTTGATTCTTGTCACTTCCCAAGTCTTTGAAAGCATGCCTGTACTAGATGTATTCACACTCTTGCGTTTCTTTCACTTGACTTTAAAAACTGCTTTCTTTAGATCAGAATCAAGCTTTGCGACTCTGTCTGGGTAGCACTAGTGTTGGAGGTCAGTATGGCGCTATCTCTGCCCTCAGTATCAACAATGATTGCTCAAGACTTCTTTGTGGCTTTGCTAAAGGACAGGTAAGATATGAACTTCCTTTAATTCATAAGACAATGTTAAAATAAGATCAATTTAAAAAAACTAATATCTTAGATCAAAGACCACAAAATATGTGTTATGAAGTAATATGTTTGTAGAGCTAACCAGAGATTGCTGAATCTGATTTTTGTCTTGGTCAAAATTTTACTGAATTGTTATCAACTGACCCAGAGTCTGTAATTTTTTTATATCCTAGTTCATGTGTCTATTTGGGTAAATAATTTTTGTAAACCAACCAGGGGTGTTATATAAAATGTACTTCCTTACAGTCATGTAAATAATGGAGGCTGCTTTTTAGAAAGATTCTGCATTCCTGGATGATGATTTTTGCATTTTTTTCTACTTCTGAAACTGGCAGTAGGTTATGGTTTTTTTCATCTTCCGATTTATACATCCCTAGCTAGTTTGGCAGTAAGGCCTTCCTATACTTTTTACCAGTGCTAAACAGATTGACTTATTAGAGAAATATCTTTTGTCTCTCAGTATGAGAACATTTAAAATCTAAAGGGAAAAGTAGGATGGACAGGATGGGGGTAAATGAAGATCGAATAAAGGCTCAGTGCTTTAATGGATCTGCAACCTTTAGGTATGTTTTAACTTTATAGTTCTTTGCCTGCAATGTTTATAGTCAAGGAATAGATTATCCCAACCAGAAGACAGGATACTTAAGTCCAAAAAAGAGTAATAAATTTGTTTTTAAAGCACTTAGTTGTCTTATAGATCACCATGTGGGATTTGGCCAGTGGAAAACTTCTAAGATCAATAACAGATGCTCATCCTCCAGGAACAGCAATATTGCATATCAAGGTAATAGCTTTGTTTTCTTTTTCTAATAATTTTTTTATTATGCCTTTGTATTTATTTTAAAGTAAATTTCTCTATATTGATAATCAGAGTCCAAAAAATGTATTTAACATGAAGCTGAACATTACCTCGTAAATAGAATCCATAACATTGAGCTGTCTTTTATTTGACTGGCCAAACACGATGTTTTTCCAGGTTAAAACTGGAGATGGGCTAGTATGGAAATATTCAGCTTCAAGTTGCACTGAAGTCTAATAGATATAGCGGCAAAAAGGGCAAATTGGTGTGTTGCTAGACTAGAGTTTGGCAGTAAAGACGGGCAGCCCCCTGCTAAAATTCATATGGAACTCTTAAAAAGTCTTTTTACCTTTGTTTAGTTCATCCAAATTTTATTGCTGAGGTGGTGTGCTCTGTCACCCTTTTTTGGGAGTTGCCTGAGGTTTAAGGCACAGATTGTGAAAGAACCAAGGTTTGGATTATGTTTAGAAATGAATCTGTTGGTTTATTTTCTTTCAGGCCTCTAAAGGGAAAGCATTAAGATCCTAGTCTTGGCTTTCTCCTTACAGGCCTGAAAAAATAAACTGACTTAGGTAACAGATTTCATTTATAAATACAATGTGAGTGTTGATTCTTCCATGCTGTCAAGCTCATGTTCAGAAGCATAAAAGGTAAAGGATTATAACTAGAAAAGTCTAAAATCAGATCTTCTAGATTTTAATCATGTACACATTTTGTTGCTTAGCTCTGCAGAGCTCTGTCATCCGTAAGTATCCTTTTTAAAGTCTGGAAGCATCTGGAGTTTGTATGTCTGTATCTAGGTTAGTTACAAAAAGTCTTCTGTGACAGAGCAGCGTTGAAGCATTTAGTAACAATGAAAACAACCAAGACAAGTAAAAAAGTAAAAGTGGAGAGAATTTCCAGAGCATTATGGCAATATATCTTGACCTCTTTTCATATGGTTTGTGCCGACTTTTAATATGTTATAGTTGTTTGTATATAGGTCTTCTCTCTCTTAGTAGATGAGCATCTTTGAAATCACAATCTGTTTGTCATTTATTTTTGTGTTTTACCCATAGAAGCTCTCAATAAGTACTTGATTGAAGGAAAAACTAGATGGTGGTGTTTATACAAGAGCAATCCTTTTGCAGAGAAAAATATTGGGAGAAAGAATAAGAAACAGAAGAGATAAAGGCAGAGAGAAAAGAGAAGAATGCAGTTGAGATAAATAATATGTAGTAGGAGCCATCGTGTTGCCTGACAATGGTGATGAAGGTGGTACATGTAGTAATAACACTGGAGTAAGATACATAGGGTTGAATATTTCTGAAGTCTTCTATTGACATCAGCCACTTGCATTTTAATACTCCTACACGTTGTTCTTCAAATTTAAGCCTGTATCTCATCAATAACAATTTGAAATTTCATTCTTTATGGGTATTTATGTGTATGTGTGTATTTATATGAATGCACTACTGTACTAATTTTTATGTACATTATAAAGCACATACACAAGAAATAGAAGATTAAACAAATACAGGTTCTGTTATTTTTCCTGCACTCCGGTGGACCATTTCATGCACATACTTAGGGTATATGCTTCTCACTCTGGCAACTGCTCATCTAGGCCGTAAGAGCAAAGTTGTGGGGCTTTTTAACTATGCGTGTGTTTGGGTAAAGGAAGAAGAATTTTACAGTGACCTCTAGTACCTCAGCCATCCCTGACTGAGAGCCTGAGGCATGCCATTTAGGATGGTTCACCAACCTTTGAGTTTAGGGAGGATAGTCACTGTAAATGGCACAAGTTCACTTTATTCCATTTTGTGTCCTGCAACATTGACCATACTTCAGGTCACCTTAGGACTGTCTGTCATTGTGAACATTATTTATTATTCTGAGTTTTCTAAGTTAGGTAGTGATAACTGATGTATTTGCTGTGGAAGAAGATCAAGGAGGTAGCACATTTTGGGAAGAGTTGTATATGAAAAGTTAAAATGTTTTAGATACAGTGGACTTACTTTTCAGTTATTCAGAAGACATCTTCAGATAAGTTTATTTCTCAGAGATACCAAGTATTTTTTAGAGTCGCTATTCTTGAAAACTGGGCGGGTGCAAATGTAACCAGAGGATTTCATTTATTTAATAATAGCAAGTTACAAAAAGTTATTGTAAGAACCCAAGTACAGAACTTTAGAATTTTTATCAATCATAGTTTGTATTTTTCTTTTATCCTGATGAAAGGTGGTTTTGCTTTTTGAAAGCCTCTGTTTTTTTTAAAGATTTTGGACCATTATTACTCTAAATAAAGGTAAGTTTGTATGTTTAGCGTAATGAGCACTAAATCTAGTTTAGGTTATTTCAAAAGCTATTAAATGTGTATATTGTAGTTTTTCAAAATTGTATAATTTTTTCCTTCTTAATACTTGACTGTTTAAAAATCTACAAGAAAATAAATTCCTTCTCTGTTTAGTTTACAGATGACCCAACTCTTGCAATTTGCAATGACAGCGGAGGCTCTGTTTTTGAATTGACATTTAAGTAAGAGACTGGTGGACATCTGTTGACAAATGAAAAGACTAGCTCTGTTTAAATGATTTGAAATTGAACATGAAGAGGTCTAGAAAGCCCCTGTAATTGAGAGTAGACTATGATTGTGTATTACAATTAGCTGGGAAGGCTTATATTATTAGAACAAACAGAGTTCTGGGCCTGGTCCTCCCGAGTTTTATCTCAGTAGGTCTGAGTCGGGATTCTAGACTCCTATTCCCCGAGAGATTCTTATGTGCTGTCAAGCTTGGGACCACTCTTCTGGAGTAGCTCACTAATTTTGGTTTAGGCTCAAGGCCCAGTTGATTATAATCAAAATGGGCAGGTGTAAACAGGTTTTTAATTATCTTAGAATTGCCATGTTTGCTCTTTAAGAGCAAAGACTGTATAGACATATCAAAGAGCGTTTAGGAAGCAGAGTTTTTTGAAAAGTAGAACATAATATTCATTGTGTATTATGTTTTCATAAGTTCTCCAAGGTTGACAACTATCTTTGTTTCTTGTGTTTCTCATAGCTTCTAACAATGCTAAGCACAAAGTAATTTCTGAAAAAAACATACTTCTTATTCAGTTAATGTTTATTGAGCATCTCCTATGTGTAGGTATTTATCTAGACCCCAGAGTTTTAACTGTGAACCAAGCAAAGTTTCTGCTCTAAGAGAACTTAGATTCTAGCTGCAGTAAGGGTAAGGAAACAGCAAACCAGCACATAAATGAAATCACTTCAGATGGGTCTAAGTACTGCGAAGAAAACAAGACAGGGGATAACTCTAGATTGCACTTAAGGATGATTCTGGAATGCCTTTCTCAGAAGGAGCAACATCTGGAAAAATACCTGAATGGTGAGCCAGTCAACATATGCACAGATCTGAGGGAAATATTCCAGGCAGAGAACATTCAGACACAAAGGCTTTGAGGTGGCCACAAACTTGGCCTGCTAGAGCGATTGAAGAAAGCAGGCATGGGTTGAGTGTGACTTTGTCAGGAACACAATAGTGGGAGAGGAGTGAAGGGAGGAGCCAGATCATATCCTTTTAAGACATGGGAAAGAGTTTGGATTTTATTTTTTATGTACAGTAGCAAGCCAGTAGACTGTTTTTGGCAGAAAAATAAACGAATCTGACTTGTATAATAAAAAGATCATGCTGCAGTCCTGTGGAGCTTGGATTGTTGGGGGTTAAGAATAGGAGGTAGGAGGCTATTAAAGTAGGCCAAGCAAGAGATAGTAGTGGCTTGAATCATTGCTAAATTGATTCTGAATTTTCTAATTACATTTTCAGGAGAGTGATGGGAGTGAGAACCTGTGAATCTAGATGTCTGTTCAGTGGTTCCAAGGGTGAAGTCTGCTGTATTGAGCCTCTGCATTCTAAGCCTGAGTTGAAAGATCATCCCATCACACAGTTTTCATTATTGGCCATGGCATCCTTAACAAAAGTAAGTGCATTTAGAAGTTAAAACTCAGAACTTTTAGAAACTTTGAATACCAAATATTTGAAAATTACAAGGTCAATATTGAAAACATATTTTTCTCTTAAAGATACTGGTCATTGGATTGAAACCATCCTTGAAAGTATGGATGACTTTTCCCTATGGCCGGGTGAGTAAGTCCCTCCATCTTATTGGCCAAAGGAAGGACCATGTCAGGAGGTTGAGAGAGATGACTTGCAAGGGGTGAATTCTATGAGATTGTCAGAAAACTAGACAGGATGAAAGTCAGTACTCCAGAGATCGTTGGCTGGACTTGCCTTAAGGTGATCAAAGCATTATAAGCTGATGACCAGCACAGTGTCCTAGGGATCATGAGATCTTGTACTTTTCTACATTTATCGCTTTAAGCTTTTCTCTCATAGACAGCATACAGTTGGCTTTTGTTCTTAACCTCAACTTGACAGTCTCTGTATATTGCTGTCCTGGCACTCTGTGGTCACACCTAACTTCATGCATTGGAATTTCCTACTTCATTCAGTGTCCTTCTGAGGGCAATAAAATTCCCTTACCAGATTTAAAGTTGAAGGATAAGTTGACTTATTGAGTCCAAGCCTTGATTTTCAGTGTTTAAAAGATACTTATTTTTACATGGCTGCTGTGCTGAGACAGGCTTATACTCACTGTCTGCAGCTTTGGCACTGAACTGTGGATAGAGTAGACCCCACTGTCATATGTGCTGTAGATTGCTACTACATGTGCTGTCCCTGGCTTCTGCCTCTGGTATTTTACTTTGGAGGATGATACTTCCTGGCGTGTGTTATTTATATACCAGTTTTCCCTTTCTTTTCTTCTTGGTTATTTTCAGAGTTGTGATCTTCCAGTGTATATATGAGGAGAGGTATTGATAGGATGGGATGGAGATTGGTGGTACAGAACTCTGGCTGGTGCAGAAAGCATCCCCTATGGTGAAGGAACTCACTTTTGTTTTCCTGTTGGTACCCTGTGTGTCTCTGGGCCCTAGGGGAAGCAGGTCTATCCTTTCAGATGGCAAAACTGGCTTAGATGGCCATTAACATTTGTTAGATTAGCTTCATTGGCAAATTCACATTTTTTTTCATGGTAGTATGTGTTTGCTTTTTAAAAATGTTTTTATTGTTTTTTTTTCAACATTTTATTATAAACATTTTCAAACAAAATTGAAAGAATTTTACGTTGAATACTTGTATAGCTACCATCTAAATTCTATATATAACATTTACTGCCCTTTATTACATATCTTTATTACATACCCATCCCTCTGTCCACTTATCAAATTATATTTTTTATATATTTCAAAGGAAATTTCAGAAACCAGTATTCTTTCCCCTAAATATTTAGCATACATATTATTAGCTAGAGTTTAATACTTCTTTAGGTTTTTCCTTAGGTGTAGAATCTACATACAAAGAAGTGCACAGATCTTGAGTGTACATTTGCTGAACTTTGACAAATGCTTAACACTTTTGTAACTCAAATTCCTATCAAGGTGTAGAACATTACCATCAACCCAGAAAGTTCCCTCGTGACACTTCCCAGTTAGTTCTTGCTTTACTGAGAAATTGGAGAAAGTTTTTATCAAGGAACACTAGTCAGATGCTGTTTTTAACCACAGTTTTCTCTTTGTCCCCTTGTTTATCAACTGTGATGATGTTTTTTTTCCATCTCCCTACTTAGATGGATCCTTCCAGTGTGCCACTGCTGGCCTGGCACTTTGTAGCAGTGCAAAATTATGTGAATCCCATGCTTGCCTTCTGCAGAGGAGATGTCGTTCATTTTCTGTTGGTAAGTCCTAATTTGATGCTACATCCGTTAGAAAGCCTCTTGTAGTTTTTTTTATTCATCAGTAATTTAATAATGTGTCAAAGAAATTTGTGTTACTATCATAAGTCTTTGGAGAGAGTGTAACCTATTTTATTTTTATCTGAGGCTTTAATGATTAGCATGGGAAAAAGGTGATCACTCTCAGTTCCATAACCTTTCATGGTTTATTTCTCAGCTCCATTTCTTTGACAAATAATTAATGGTGTATGTAAATGTGTAAAGGTATGAATGTGAATATGTGTTAATGTATGTGTAACTACATATGTGTGTATTAGAGAGCAAGTATCGTTGAGCACCTGTTGTGTCCTCTACACTGTGATGGGCACAAGTAGCAATGGAAGGAAGGAAGTATACAACGTAATTTCAACTTTCACTCAGCTTATAATCTTGTTTGAAAAGCAAAATCAGTCTGTTCATTATTACTACAGAAAATGGTTTAAGGATTGAACTATGTGATGAAAATCAAGCTGATACAAATTCAGAGTACAAAGTGATTAGTATGGACTAGAGAGGGTATTAATGGCTTTATGAAGGATATACTGCAACTACTGCAGGAAGGCTGGGTATGCATATTGTTGGAAATGAGATGAACTGAAGTCACAGAGGCAAGAATGTGCCTTTGTATTAATAATCTCTTGGGTTTCCTAGCTCAGTGAAGCAAGTTCACTACTGTCTACCTACTTCCTCCAGCCAGAAACTTAGGAGTTACGTTTCAGTTACCTTTCTTTCTTCATATGTGCCCTATCATCAAGCCCTATTGACTCTACCTCCAAAAATCTCTTGAATTTCTCCTTTTTTGTCTCCTCCATTGCTCTTTCCTTAGTCTAAATCATGTACATGTCTAGCCTGGATTCTGCCATGGCTTCCTAACTAGTCTCTGGCCTCAGTGCCTTTTACATATACTGTTGCCTCTGCCAGAAAAGTTTTGTGCTATCTTCCATTGTCTCCCAGCTCATGATTAACATGGCCTTCCCTGACCTCTGAACTAAGTTAGTTATATACATCTTTTGATAATATTCAGCACTTAAAAGAAAAACAAAAACAAAAGAGGGGCGAGGTATTGTGGGTCTCCAACTGAGGCCCAGGCTGACTCTCTAACTCCTGGCCTCAAGTGATCCTCCCGCCTCAGCCTCCCAAATATTGGGATTACAAGTGTGAGCCACTGTGCTTGGCCACATTCAGCACTTTTTAAATTATTTGTCTAATGTTTTTCTTCGCCACTAGACAGAAAGCTCCATAAATCTAGAGACCATCTTTACTGTTATATTTCCAGCCACTAGAACAGTGCTTTATATTGTAAATAGTCAATAAATGTTTATAGAATTAATGACAAAGAGAAGGTTGTAGTGGAAAATATAATTGAATATATGGGGTGGATTGAGAGTAGGGGTTGGCAAACTGTGGCCTGTGGGCCAAATCTGGCCAGCCATCTGTTTTTATAAATAAAGCTTTGTTAGAACATCCCCAATACAACATTTGAGAGTCCTGCCTTCAGTTTCAGCTCAAAACATTGAAATATTCCTTCATCATTTTCTCCCCAATCAGTCTCTTTTCAAATGTTTCTTGATTCTAAAATGCAAAGTCAGAAGTGGGATGTTTCATTCATGTCCTTCAGTCTCTAGATCCAATATGATGAGAAGACTTATTTTTCCTTGAAAGTTGTCATCCCTTAACTCTCACTGCAACTAACCATCTTTGTCTAAACACCTTACACCTGCCTTATTGAGAAAAACCTTTAATTTTTCTCCTGCCTTCTGTATGTATGCTTTTTGCTACTTCTAGACTGATCTTCCTAAAATGTCACTTTAATCACATCTTTATGACTTTAATTACTTAGGAACCTGTGATGATGACTCCATTACCAGTCTAGGCCAATCATTATTAATCTAGATGAGGGGTTAGCAAGCTTTTTGTGTAAAGGGCCACACAGTAAACATTTTAGCGTCTGTGGACCATATATTCTCAGGAAACTGAGAAAGAGTAGGTGACTGCCTTTGGTCACACGGGTATAATAGTGGAACTTAGAATTAGACATATGGCTCTAGATCCCATGTTCATTTTACCACAGGATCATTTCTTAAGGGAGAAGTGATTTAGTGAAATGAAGGTGGGTGCACATGAAGGGCCCATGTTAAGTGGTCTCAGATTTCTGTTAAAACATCAGGCGAGGTCACCACTGTAAGTGATGGGGCCAGAAGGCAAAGAGAATTGTGACTTAAAGGGAAAGACATCTATTATGCTACTATGGAGACTGTCCAAGAAAGCCCAGGTTGAATTGAATGCCATGAATTTCAGGTGGTCAGGCGCATCTTGTGGTTTATGTTTCTTCAGTGTTCTGTTACCTTGGAGCAGAAGGGGAGAAGGATGACTGAGGATATAGAGTGTATTTATAGATACGAATAAATAAAAGATTGACACTCAAGGTCCTTTTGGGAAATTTTGGGATGTTAGAATTACACAACGGAACTTCAAAAAGTTTGTGGAAAAATGGAGTTAAAAAATAAAAATAAATTTTATTTCTCAACATAAGCTTCATCTTGTTCAAGATACTTTTTAAAGTGCTGATACCAGCCATATAGTCCATCCCTAAAGAACTGAAGGTCTTGGGAATTTAATCATGTCAATGCAGTCTTTTTCACATTATTAACTAAAGAAAAATGGGTGCCCTTTATAGACTTTTTCTAGATTAGGAGACAGAAGTCAAAGGAGCCAAATCAGTACTGTATGGTGGATCGAAATGCTCTCAGAATTGGCCTTGTTTGATGAGAGCAGTGAGCAGGAACATGGTTGTGGTGGAGGACAGTCTGGTGAAGCTTTCCTGGGCATTTGTCTGCCAGAGCTTTGGCTAACTTTCTCAAAACACACTCTTAATAAGCAGATGTTATTGTTCTTTGGCCCTCCAGAAAATCAACAAGCAAAATGCCTTGAGCATCCCAAAAAATTGTTGCCATGACCTTTACTCTTGCCTGGTCTGTTTTTGCTTTGGCTAGACCACTTCTGCCTCTTCATAGCCTTTGTTTTGCTTGTGCTTTTTCTTCAGGACCACACTGGTAAAACCATGTTTTATCTCCTGTTACAGTTTTTCAGAGAAATGCTTCAGGATCTTGATTCCACATGTTTAAAATTCCCGTTAAAAGCTTTGCTCTTGTCTGCAGCTGACCTGGGCACAACTGTTTTGGCACCCGTCAAGTAGAAACTTTGCTCAGCTTTAATTTTTCAGTCAGAATAGTGCAAGCTAAACCAGTTGAAATGTCTATGGTTTTGGCTGTTGTTTCTGCTGTTAATCATTGATCTCTTTCAATTAGGGCATGAACAAGATGAATATTTTTCCTCGCTAATTGATGGGTATGGTCTGCAATTGCAGGCTTCACCTTCAGCATCATCTTGTTCCTTCTTAAAACAAGTTACCCATTTGTAAACTGCTGCTTTCTCTGGGGGCATTGTTCCCATAAACTTTTATTAAGCATCAGTGATTTTACCATTCTTCCACTGAAGCTTCACCATAAATTTGATATTTGTTCTTGCTTCAATTTTAGCAGAATTTATGTTGCTCTTTGGGGCTCTTTTCAAACTGGTGTCTTTCCTTCTTAATGCCTCAAACTAGATCCTTTTCAGACATGTTATCGTAAGTTAGTACGAGTTTATTTTGGTGCAAACAATTTTTGAGATCCATGCATAGTTTTTTCATTGTATGCATTTTCCATGAACTTTTTGAAGTGCTCTCATAATAGTATCATAGTTCAGAGAAGTCTGGCTCACATCACTGCAGCATCTTTTTTTCTTGAATGGACTTTTGACTTCCTCACACCGTGTCACCATTCCTTTTTGTATTTTTTTTTTTTTTGAGACAGAGTCTTGCTCTGTTGCCCAGGCTGGAGTGCAGTGGCGCTATCTCAGCTCACTGCAAGCTCCGCCTCCTGGATTCACGCCATTCTCCTACCTCAGCCTCCCGAGCAGCTGGGATTACAGGTGCCCACCACATGCCTGGCTAGTTTTTTGTATTTTCAGTAGAGACGGGGTTTCACTGTGTTAGCCAGGATGGTCTCGATCTCCTGACCTCATGATCCGCCCACCTCGGCCTCCCAAAGTGCTGCGATTACAGGTGTGAGCCACCGCGCCCGGCCCTTTTTGTATTTTAATTATAGTCATTGATGTGATAAAGTTAGGTTGTTCTGAATTATAACAGAGTGAAAACTATGTCACAGCATTTGTCAATACTGACAACTAGACCACTTCCAGATATGCCCTGCATTTTGGTGTAAATAATGGAACAAATAATTTTTTTTCTACTTTCATAATCATTTATTTAATTATCAGCACTTTTGGCTTATCTACAGTGAATGGGATAACGGGTAAATGTGATATTCTAGGTGGAGTATAATTAAATATCTAAAAAAGTCCCTCAAACAGTAGTTGGTTTTTAGGTTGTTTTTATTTCATCATCAGGTAAAGAGAGACGAATCTGGAGCAATACATGTTACTAAGCAAAAGCATCTTCACCTATACTATGACCTCATCAACTTTACTGTGAGTATTATTCAAATTAAATATCCCCATTTAGTTCATGTAATTGTTCTGAACCTATGATATATTAAAGCTACCAGGATTTCTGCCAAGAATTATTACCTTTAAGATCATATAAAATATGGACAGTCAGGCACCCAGGCTCGTGCCTGTAGTCCCAGCTACTTGGGAGGCTGAGGTGTGGGATAGCTTAAGCCCAGGAGTTCAAGGCTGTAGTGCTCAGTGATCGCTCCTGTGACTAGTCACTGCACTCTAGCCTGGGCAACATAGTGAGACTCTGTCTCTTAAAAAAAAAAAGTGTATATATATATATATATATATACACACATACATACATATACACACACACACAGAAAGGAAGTCCTGGTTATATTGAATAAAGTCTGAATGTGGTGTGATGCCATAAATTATTGCCTTTCAACCTATGTCCTGCTGAACACAGGCAGGATTAGAAATGTAGTGTCTCGTTTAGCTCAAAGGGGAGTTTGGCTTCAGAAGAATTTAGGTGAGTTTTTTGAGGATCATTGCCCTGCTTTCTCTGTAAAACATTTTTTGTATTTTTGAGCTTTGTCTTAAATTGGTTCAGCAGCTCATGCAGCCTCTTTTTTTCTTGTGGCTGAAAACTTTGCAGAGTTCTCTTTCTACCATGCATCTCAATCCTGAGTGACTTCTTGTTTTTTTGTTTTGTTTTTTTTTTTTTGAGATGGAGTCTTGCTCTGTAGCCCAAGCTGGAGTACAGTGGTGTGATCTCAGCTCACTGCAAGCTCCGCCTCCTGGGTTCAAGCGATTCTCCTGCCTCAGCCTCCTGAGTAGCTGGGACTACAGGCGCCCCCACCACCACACCTGGCTAATTTTTTGTATTTTTAGTAGAGACGGGATTTCACTGTGTTAATCAGGATGGTCTTGATCTCCTGACCTCGTGATCTGCCCGCCTCGGCCCTCCAAAGTGCTGGGATTACAGGCGTGAGCCACCACGCCCGGCCACTTCTTGGTTTAAAAAGAGAGAGATTTCTTTTTGTATCAAATTTTATTTTTTCTCTCTCAAATAGTTTGTTAATTTTGAGAACAAAGTAATTATAATATTTCTGGGTTCCCATCATTAATACATTTTAGCACATCCATGTCTGGTGTCCGGTAAAACATTCTGTAGATGCATGAATATAGGCAACCCTAAATGTAAGGCAATTCCTCATTTTTCTAATAAAAAGACTGAAAAAGAGTTTTTTCCTCAACTTGATAACATGTAATTTTTTAGAATATAGATGAAATAGATCTTTTCTTTACATAATTTATTGATTTAGTTGTACATTACATTTTTAACTCACAGACAGTTGTTTAGAAATAATTCTTTCTTCCATACACATTTTATGAAATAATTTTGTTCAGACTCTTAAAAGACATCAGTGTTGTCATCACCAGAATTGTCTTGTTGAATCATGTCATACAGTTTTTCAGAATTTATCATCATCACTTCTGTTTAAGATGTTTGAGATACAGTACTTTAAAAATCTGCACGAGTGTATGTGACCATTAACTGCACTGTTTTCTAAATTACCCTTAAAAGGCTTATTTACAACAGTGTCAACACTCGCAACTCTGCGGGTCTAATCTCAGGAATAATTACAAAACTTACTGAAGTTCCTTTTTTTTCTGCCATTCTCTCGTTTTCTTTTAACCAGGTGACCTGTGAGAGTACCTAAGAACTAGCACTGATTAAGGTTGTATAAGGCTAAATAATGTGATTTTTCCTAGAAAATACTTTGTTTTTCTAAATAAAATAATTAAGAGAGCACCTTATAAGAGCTGTCTGTAAAATATTTGCATATCAAACTCCCTGTTTTCTGAAAGATTTTTTAGAGGAGGAGAGGGGAACAAACTCTTCCCTTAGGGTGGCTAATATACAGTAATAGAGTGTATTTTTTAGCATTTTCAACTTGGTTATCTTTAGTTGGACATTATGCAAATAATATCTGATGACATAGAATAGAGCATACAAATACACCAGTGTGAATACCAGAGACATAAAGGGCAGAGGAGGCACTTTGTTCTGGCTACTTCTGAATTCTGATTGAGCAGATTTTAAGATTTATTTCTTGGGAAAGGATTGGGATTGCCAAAAAAGAATTTGAAAATAAGAAATCTGATTTTATACATAACCCAAGAAATTTGTTAAAATGGCATCCTTCAGAAGATTTTTAAAGTTATTATTGTTAGTACTTTAAAAATTATAATAGTACTTATTAAAGAAAATTTGGGAAATACAGAGAAATAGAACAAAGGACTCTCGTAATTTTAAGAGAGATTTTGAAGGAAGTAGATTTTTAAAATAGCTTCTATTTTAAAATATATATTGCTTCAGTGCTGACAATTGTCCTTTGACCAGCTAGGTTTATGGGCTTTACTTTGTTCTTTTGTTTTAGCAGTATCATAAAAACTAGAAACGCAGAGTTTGTCATGATACTGAAGTCATTTGTGCCAGTTGCTTTAAAAAATCTTTTGTAAAAAACGATATGCTCTAATCCACCTAGAGCTTTTAGTCTTCTTTTACACTGTGCAAGTGTCATTTTAATATTTTCAAAAGTTAGTAGTATATTGTAGCTACTGTTCTCTGGCCTGTCACTGAGTAATTCTTGCTTTGATTGTGTTGCCATGTTAATTGTTAAATGGATAAAGTCCTCAATGTAATTTAATCGAGGAGCCAAGCTTTCTTCTTGACCCGAATGATGATGTGGGTGTGGTCTCTCTTTTGTTTTGTTGTGTGCTTGAATTACAGTGGATAAATTCACGCACAGTTGTGCTCTTAGACAGCGTAGAGAAGTTGCATGTGATTGATCGGCAAACACAAGAGGAATTGGAGACAGTGGAGATCTCAGAAGTTCAGCTGGTCTATAATAGCAGCCATTTCAAATCACTAGCCACTGGAGGAAATGTTAGCCAGGCACTGGTAAGGATAATCACTTCTCTTGGTATTGCTTTGATAAACTTGGTATTTTGTTGTATTTGTTTTAGAAATAGGAACTCTGGGGAGTTACCTTTTTCTGTCTTGAGGTGTTTATTTAAAAGCCACTAGGTTGAAGTGGGTGTGAATGTGCTTGTAAGGTTTTAAGAATACAAGCTAAAACAATAATTTTTGTTCCCTTCTATTCAGAAATGTTACTTACTTAATACCACTTTTAATTTTTATACTAAAATAATGAAGTATGGAAAATTTGTGAGAAAAACTGTAAAGTCAAAATATTTTTAGAAAGCTTAATTTGGCAGTAATAAGCCTGATAGATTTAAGGGATAAGTAACTACAGACAGGTACCCTATGAGGCTTTGGAAATATTTGAGTGATAATGGTAAAGGCTTGAACAGGTATGGTTGCTGTGGGTATTAAAAAGCAAAGATGGCTTCAAGAGAAAGAAGATACTCTAGAAATAGGTAATAGATGAGATGCAGGAGCCTAGAGAGAAGGAGGACACAACAGAGTTATGGCCTTAGCATTAATTTTATTGTGTCGTTAAGCAACTACAATAATGGCCTTAAGCAATTTCCACAGATAGTTTATAGTTCAATCAACTTGAATTGTGATCTCATGTTCCTAAACCACAAATCTTTAAGTAGGAAATTTAGACCATTGTGAGACTTCCTTGGATCATTTTTTGAAAAAAATAGTAATGATGGTAATATTTAATGAGTGACTATAGCATGATGTGTAGGCTTTGCTCAAATCTCCCTCATATTAAAACTTCAGAGCGTAAAATATATATGGAAGGGTCTTCCAGCCTCCCACTTTAAAAACCAAGAAAAGTCAGAATAAGAAATAATAGTGCAATATAATTCACTAAGTGATAATGATAATTACTGTTCCATACTTTATTTTCTTGTGTTTGAATGGTATTAAAAATACCAGTGGACTTTGAAATTGTACTTTTAGCCAAGATAGAGTTGTGGTGAATTAGATTTACTCTCCTGCTTGAAATAACCGAAGAAGGTGAAGGAGGAGGGAGGGGGAGGGGGAGGGGAAGGGGGAGGGAAGAAGAAGAAGAAAAGTAAACAGCAGTTCTTAAGACACTGGACATCTGTAATGACGGACAGCAATCTCTCACAAAATGGGGAACAAATGCTGTGAACTCTGTGATTGTCCTAGCTTCCAGCCTCCAGAGGGCATCTGGGCTGTGGAGGAACCCAATTGGAGCCTAGAAGACTCCATGAGTTGAGAAGACACAGCTGAGATTGCAGGAAGACAAAATTGGGTTGAGTTTGCAAGAGAGAGTACTGGAGAAAAGAGCACTATGAAAGAGTCCCCCTTGAGTGTTCATCAGACTCCTAATCAGCAAATGCATAGAAGGAAGCTGCCCAAGGACCAGGAAAGAGCCATTTGAAAGGTTTAGAGGGAACCGTATCTAGTGCTTACACAGGGCCGGAAACAGTGCTTGTTACACCAGCCAGAATGGAAAGCTTCATGATTCACAGGACAGTGGGTAGAGACCTCAGAGTCGTCTTGCCTCATTAGGACTAGAATAAATGGCACACTGGTCCCAGCTAACACATCTTAAAAGTAAGACCAGAAAGGATCAAACTGTTTCCAAATCACTTATCTTCTAGAACAAAGCACAAGAATATTGGCCGGGCGCAGTGGCTCACGCCTGTAATCCCAACACTTTGGGAGGCCGAGGTGGGCGGATCACAAGGTCAGGAGATCGAGACCATCCTGGCTAACACAGTGAAACCCAGTCTCTACTAAATATATAAAAAATTAGCTGGGCGAGGTGGCGGGCGCCTGTAGTCCCAGCTACTCTGTAGGCTGAGGCAGGAGAATGGTGTGAACCTGGGAGGTAGAGCTTGCAGGGAGCCGAGATCACCCTACTGCACTCAAGCCTGGGCGACAGCGAGACTCCGTCTCAAAAAAAAAAAAAAAAAAAGGAATACAGAAAGATCCAGAAACCAACAAGTTAAAATTCACAGTGTCTCTCATCCAATTAGAGATTACTAGGTATGCAAAGAAGAAAAACAACCTATAATGAGGAGAAAAATAAAAACTAACTCACACCTGACATAAATGTTAGCAGACAAAGACATAAAAGTTATTATAACTATACTCTTTAGTTAAAAAAGTTAAGTAGAGACATGGAAGATATTTAAAAAGATGCACATCAGACTTCTAGAGATGAAAACCAGTGCTTATAGATGAAAAAAAATGCACTGGATGGGATTAATGGCAGATTAGGCAACACAGAAAAAAACGATTAATGAATTTGAAGATACAACAGAAATTATACAAAATGAAACACAGAAAAATAATTTTAAGAAATAGTATTAGTGAACTGTGAGAACACGTCAGATAGCCTAATGTATGTGTAGTTACAATCTCTAAAGGAAAGGAGAGAAGAAATTGGAAAAAATAATGGTCAAAAACTTTTCTAAAACTGTAGACACACACGTTTAAGAAGCTCAGTGAACCCAAGCACAACTAAAATAAACTGTATATGAATTGATCAAAATTAGTGATAAGGAGAAAAATTTTAAAGCAACCAGTGGGAAAAAAAGACACATTAAATGCAGAGGAGCAATAATTATGAGAACACATTTCTCATCAGATAGTCGGCAGTGATCTGTAAAGATTTAGAAGTGGACAATGAACACTTGGGGCACTGCTCAACATCATTAGGTATTAGGGATCAAATACCTAATCAAAATCAAATGGAATACTGCTTCACACCCACTGGGAAGTGGGAAGGCTATCATAAAAAAAAGAATAACAAGTGTTGGCAAGGATGTGGCGATATTGGAAGCCTCATAGATTGATGGTAGGAAACCAAAATGGTGCAAATGCTGTGGAAGATGGTTTGGCACTTTATTAAAAAGTTAAACATTGAGGCCGGGCATGGTGGCTCTTGCCTGTAATCCCAGCACTTTGGGAGGCCGAGGCGGGAGGATCACCTGAGGTCAGGAGTTCGAGACCAGCCTGGCCAACGTAGTGAAACCCTGTCTCTACTAAAAATACAAAAATTAGCTAGACTTGGTGGTAAGCACCTGTAATCCCAGCTACTCGGAAGGTGGAGGCAGGAGAATCGCTTGAACCTGGGAGGCAGAGGTTGCAGTGAGCCGAGATTGTGCCACTGCACTCCAGCCTGGGGTACAGAGTGAGACTCTATCTTAAAAAAAAAAAAAAAAAGTTAAACATTGAATTACCAATCTGACCCAGAAGTTCTGCTCCTAAGTGTGTTTCCAAAAGAGTTGGAAATACATGCTTATATAAAAACTTGTATATGAACACACATAGCAGTATTGTTCTTTGTAACTGAAGAGTGAAAACAATCTAAATATTCACTAACTGGTAAAGGGATGTACAAAATGTGGCATAGCCATTTAATAGAATACTCTTCCACAGTGAAAAGTATGACAACTGATACTTGGCTACAACATGGATGAACCTTAAAAATACTAAGTGAAAGAAGACATACAATAAGAGCACATTTTTGTTTAATTCTGTTGATATAAAATGTCTAGAAAAGGTCAATGTAATTTAGAGACAGATGTACATTAGTGGTTACCTGGGTTTGGAGGTGGGAATGGGATTGACTACAGATGGGTACAAGGATCTTTGCAGAGTGATGATAATGTTCTCAAAATGGATTTTGATAATGGCTGAACAACTGTGAATTTACTAAAAAATCATTGAATTGTGTGCCTAATGAGTGAATTTTATGGTGTATGTTATATCTCAATACTGTTGTTTAACAAAAGCAATTGACTGTCTAAAACAAAAATAATGTGTTGTGAAGTTTATGATCTATAGAAGCAGTATATATAACAAAAATAGTACATAGCGCCGGGATGTAGGAGATGAAAGTACATCATTGCAAGGTTCTTACAGCATATGTCAAACATTATTTAAATGTAGACTGAGATAAATTACACATTGTAAACTATAATCACTAAAAAAGACGTGTAACTAGTAAGTCATTAATAGTGATGAAATGTTAAAAAATACATTAAATACAAAGGAATTTTTTTTACCTTTTTTGTATGTATGTTTTTTTTCCAGGCTTTGGTTGGAGAGAAGGCTTGTTATCAATCCATCAGTAGCTATGGTGGTCAGATCTTTTATTTGGGGACAAAAGTAAGCTCTTTTACTCTGTGAGTTGGTATTTCTATGTATCGGGGTAGTTGAGGCTGAAGGAGATTGCTGGTAAAGAGGGCAGTATATTGCGAAGTGAATATTGATAAGCAATTATCCAAAATGGTTTGTGGTTAGGTAGTCATAATTTTTAGTTAATTATTTTTTTTTCCTCCACTTTTAGACATATTCTTTACTTTTGTTTAGGTGCTGGCTAATAGGATGCTTATTTTCTTGATTCAGAGTTGTGCTTTTGTAAGCTTCCTTCACATTTATGTTTTTATGATCAGGCAGCTACCTAATCGTCGATATTTGTCATGTAATTAAGATGGCTTTTAGCTTAGATCAGCCTAGGATGCTGATTAAAATGCATTGAGGTATTTGACTTAGAATAGAATTGTTGGAATAGGAACTTTTTGTATCTCAATTTATCTCAATTTGTTCCTGTGCTTTTTTAAAAATATAGAGAAACATTTCTTCATTATTAAAATTTAACCAAAATATTGCCAAGTCAGTAGAGGGAAATGAGCTTGGGCTTTCCTTGCTTCTTGTCCATGGAATTAACTCCTTCTTGGACTGTAGGCCTTTAAATATTTGACTTACTCTTTAATGTGGGTTCTAGGCCAGATGCGTTGGCTCACACCTGTAATCCCAGCACTTTGGAAGGCCTCGGCGGGCAGATCACATGAGGCTGAGAGTTCAAGACCAGCCTGGCCAACATGGCAAAACCCTGTCTCTAGTAAAAATACAAAAATTAGCCAGTTGTGGTGACAGGCGCCTGTAATCTCAGCTACTCAAGAAGCTGAGGAATGAGAATCATTTGAACCCCGGAGGAGGAGGTTGCAGTGAGCCAAGATCCCGCTGCTGCACTCCAGCCTGGGCGACAGAGCGAGACTCTGTCCCAAAAAAAAGAAAAGCGTTCTTGAAGACCCACTAGTAAATTCTAAGATATACTTCTAACTGTATTATGAAATGTTTTACTTAAAGAGCTGTCAAGTGAGATGTGGGACTATGACGAATGTATCTCCCAAAGAAGTCTGTTAAGGGTGATCATTTTAATTTCCATCTCTTTACTTTCCAGTCTGTTTATGTGATGATGCTGAGGAGCTGGAGAGAGGTGAGTTCCAAGTAATTTCACACGTCAGAGTTGCTGAATTGATAGCTTCTTAACATTTCTGTTTTGACTTTTCAGAAGATTATTTGGTAAGCTTCTTAATTTCAGAATGTACATGAAAACTATTATAGCTGTTAGGTACTTGATTTGCTAGAACTGACATTATAAGTTAGAATTAGGTTTGTCTACATATATTAGAAAATTCAAAATAATAGTGGCTTAAATAAGATTTCTGTGTCATGTAAAAGCAACCTGGAGCTAGGTGGTCCGCAACTGTTGTAGGAATTCCATAAGCTTAAGCGTGCTGTCCTGTTCCACCATGTTTGTCTTTGATGTTCTGGTCTCAGGGTCATTTTATAATTCAGTGTGGTTGCTAGAGCTCCAGCTGTTACCACATTTTAGGAAGGAAGAAAGAGAAAAATAAAGGATGTCTCCTACCTCTTAAGATGACATCCCAGAAATACCAGACAACACTTCCACTTGTCATTAGCCAGAGCTTAGTCACATTGTTCCCAGTGGCTACGAGGTAGTCTTAGAAATATCCTTCAGCTGCTATATTGCTGTCTCAAATAAAAATGGGGTTTGTTACTACCAAGGAGGGAGAAATCAATGTTGTGATAAACAACTAGCCATTTCTCCTGCAATGACATTCCAGCTATTACCCCTTTTCATATTTAGGCCCTGTGGCTGTCTATACTAGCCTATACAGTCACTATACTATCTAGTGCTTTAAGATATTTTTCTCTGAAATAAGATATTCACATAATTATTAAAATAATTTTTGCCACTAAGCAGCAACTTCTGGAAAGATTTGAGGTGGAATAGGAATTCTGACTGGTGACTGGTCGGACAAAGGGGTCTGATTTCTCTCATTTTTCCATTTAGAGAGTGGATCATCTCCTGAAACAAGATTGTCTTACAGAAGCCTTGGCTCTTGCGTGGTCTTTCCATGAAGGAAAAGCAAAAGCTGTAGTGGGTGAGTAGACAGAATTACAGTGTAGTAGACATGGTTCTCCTGGAGTAGAGGGAACGGATAGTACTAACCACTCACAGGACACTTTTAGCTGAGTGTTCAAGTGTTTATAAATTTATAAACAGGATGCTATTAAACCTTATAGACTTTCAGTTAAGAAGGTTAAGGTGACAAATAGAGGGTATAGAAATTAAAATGTCACTTTAAAAATTATTTTGTAAGGAAATTACTATTAGAATGAAAGAGAAGTACATTGATGTGCTATCTGGTCCAGTAGATTTGAGGTGTTCCTATTATGGTGTATTATCCAACATTTTGATACCTAAGGATTGTTACAATTATACCTGATGTTACACGTTTTATGAATATGAAACCAGACATAGTGTCACTACTAAAGATATGGACTAACTTTTGTTTTTTTGTTGGATTTTCCTTCTTTGCAGGATTATCAGGGGATGCCAGTAAGCGAAAGGCTATTGTTGCAGACCGGGTGAGTGTTTTAATAGGGCCTTTACTAGAATGCAGTACAGATTTGCTTTTGGCATTTGCTCATATCTTTGGGCATGAGTAGGTAAATGGCTACAATCTAGGAGAGAGTGTATTAAACACACACACACACACACACTTGGGGTCAGGGGTTCAAGAGTAGCATGGGCAAAATAGCAAGACCTCGTCTCTACAAAAAATTAAAAAATTAGCTAGGCATGGTAGTATGCACCTGTAGTCCTAGCTACTTGGGAGGCCGAGGCCAGAGGATCACTTGAGGCTAGGAGTTCAAGGCTACAGTTGAGCTATGATTGCGCCACTGCACTCCAGCCTGGGTGACAGAGTGAGACCTGTATCTAAAAAAAAAAAACAAAAAAAAATTCCGGTTACAATTCTCTGTGTCATCTTGAATACTTTTAAAATTCTTTCTTAATCACCTTTTCTTTTTCCCTTGCTCACTCTTTTATGAAGATAATAAAGTACATAGCCAAAAGCCAGCAGGAAGGAGGAGGAAGAAAACCTGGGAATCTGGATTATTTCTGAACCAAGTAATAGGCCAGAGAAAATTGACATTTGTCAGTTTTTGTGAACTTATTAAGTAACTATGAGAAATACTGAATGTGCAATGTTTGTGTTGGCCAGAACCAGCAGGGAGGGTTAATGTTTTAATGTTATTATCAATTAGCATCAATATAATTGATGCTATTTAATACTGACTTTCCGTTCCTACTCCAGACTGGGCTGAATTAATTGACTATAGTATTTCTTCCCTTTTGTTGTGTAAATGCATTGGTAAAAATTATATTCCAGATTAATAGAAACATTTGTAGAAAACTTGGATAGAAGTCGGTCACTCCTTAGACTCCGAATGATTTGCTCATCTGTGCTCTTTAGGGAAACACCTAAGGCAGAGGATTACTGAAGAATTTGAATGTTTCATTTTCTGAGCAGTGTAGATACCACTGAGGTCTAGAACATAGAGATATTTCTTAAGAAAGATTAGCAAATTAGTACTAGCCCTGAGGCTGAAAGAAATGAGACTAGAGTTTTAAAAAGCTGGTAAATAAAGCCACTAACATTTTCAATTATAATTTTAATATAATAACATTCGAATTCTATATTATTTAGGAGGGCCACATAAATATTGAAAAACTTTAGAGATATATTTTAATGGCTATGCCAGGCTATTTTCCTTACAGATGGTAGAAATCCTATTCCATTATGCAGATCGAGCTCTGAAAAAGTGCCCAGACCAAGGAAAAATCCAAGTGATGGAGCAGCATTTTCAGGTACACGTTTGCATATGCTTCTGGTAGACAGTGCTCTGGATAGGTCTAATACTGCTCTTTTATGTCACTTGAGAATGTGACTTTCATTTTTGGTTAAACATGTTTTTAGTATTCAAAACTTTATTGAAGGGCTTGTAGAACATTCTAAATGATTATATTTTTAAGTAATGGGTATAAATGAGTAAAATGTTGTGGAGTGTTACTTAGCACTTAGCTACTTAGTGCTGTGTGGAAGGAAAGGATATACGTGTGAAGATCCTTTCCTGTAAACTGATACCTTATAGTGGCTGACATCTTGCTGGTGACTGATATTTATGTTAACTAGATTATTTAGTACTGCCAAGGTGTAAATTTAGTTCTCCTAGGAGCACCTATAACTTAAGAATAATAGATCAATCACAAAAAATATATATATGATCTATAAAATATGCTAACGAAAGACCTTTAGTTTATCTTGGAACTTAATGAAAATGAAAGCCGAAGAACAATGTACAGACGTGTATAGTATTTATTATGCAGGTTTTTCTTTCTGCAGTGCTCTCCGGTTATATTCGTTGCACATCTCTGTTCCCCATTCCTACTGCTCCTTTCCCTCTCCCTACTTCCTCTTTTAACAAATATTTGAGTGTCCAACACAGGAGTCAGCAGACTTTTTCTAAAAAGACTCAGATGGCAGAGTTTAGGCTTTACAGGCTACAGTGGTCTCTGTCACATCTTTTTCTTCCTTTTTTTGTTTTTTGATTTTTTAAGCAACTCCTTAAAATTGTGAAGTCCATTCTTAGCTGTGAACAATACAGAAACAGGCTTTGGGCAGGATTTGGCTAAAGTGTGTGTCCTGTGGTCTAATAAGTACTTGGTACTGGGCAATAGTGGGTGGAATTTACATGATCTTTACTCTCTTAAAGTTTGTAGTCTAGTCAAAATAATGGTTTTTTCTGGTTTACATTAATGGAAATATTTAGAAGAAATCTAGGGATTTTGAAGTTCTAAAGAGCAGGCACAGGTCCTATCTTTTTATATTCTATTTGATGCTTGTAACATTGGAAGACAAGAATAGATATGGCAGTTAAGAGTTGGCTGGTATCAGAGAAGCATTTGGCTTCCTGAACTGTACTGTTCAATGCCACGCTAGTGAGCTTCTGGTACAGTAAGTGTTATTACTCTGTTTGACTGGATGCTTATTAATCAGTAGAGAAGGAGAAATAAGCCTAGATAATAATTATAAAAATAAATAAGAAGACATATGGTAGAAAGAAAGCATTTGGGAACAAAACTGTTTGGAAACAATACCTTATATATAAATACTTGTGTATACCAACGCAGTATAGATAGAAAACTTAATATTTGTGACAAGAATATACCTATCAGCAATACGTTGTAGGAACTCTGGCCATTGGAAGGTATATTTTGTTGAAAAAAATCATCTAGTAGAAAAAACTAGGAGGGGTGAATGGAATGAGTATGTGTGTGTGTGGAGAATATAGAAACCACCATGTCAGGGAAAACGTGGTAGAGAGCGTCTTTCTAAAAGACGAAAGGAACAAAGGTGATGTTCTGATGGAGAAATAGTAAAGAGTCTCAGATACAGGAACTGTAGATGGTAGTTTCTGATGCAGACTGCAGAATGTACAGAGAAACAAATGTTAGTAGTAATGTGCCCTGTAACCATCTAGCTACCTGTTAGAAGTCTCATTCTGTTGGTAGGAATATTTGATAAAATTTTTGATTTATCAGTGATTTAGTCTCATAGGAGGTAAAGGAAACAATGGAGGCGGCTATTTCTCTGGATTTAATTTTTACTAATGATTGGGGAAGTAGAAGAGATAGACCCTTGAGAGAAGAATTATCACTTTATTTTAACAATCATAATAATGATGAAAAATATACATAGCATGAGTCCAGTATTTTAGAAAGCAAATATCTCAGAAAAAAATACGGATATAATCACATGGCTACAGGCTCCAAAAAAAGAATGAGTTCACAAGGAACAGGAAATTCTAAAATTTTGACCATTCAAGGAGAAAGTAATGTTGAAAGAAGGTTCTACCTGCAAATCACAGAACATCTATAAATATGGAGAAAGGTGTGTAACTAAAGATACATACCAGAAGTATCATGAACTTGTAAGACTGTCAGAAAGGAGAATGATATGGCCCAGACTGTGCCTACCAAAATGCTGTGGAGTACAAAATAGGGATTTTTAGCAAAGATTTACTGAGCACATACGATGTGCCAGGTACTATGTAAAGTGTGTGACATGTATTTTTATTCTCACAACAACCCCAGGGAGTAGGTGTCGTTTTTAATCCCCATTTTATAGATGAGGAAACAGGCTTAGAGGAGTGAAGTGAAGTGAAGTTACAAGGTAATATTATAGTAAATGGTGGAGCCGGGACTCATATCCAGGTCTTTGTGACTTCAAAGCCCAGTTCTTAACTAATCATTGTATTATATTGTTATTTTAAGAGCAAACACAGGGAGAAGATGAGTGAGAAGGGGTGATGTTAACAAATGACCAAGAATGAGAATTACAGCAAGCATCTAAACTGTTTAATACTTAACTGTGTGGCTGGCACTGTTACAGACCCTTTATACATGTTTATTAACTCATTTAATTCTTATCATAACTCTGTAAGGTGGCTGCTGTTATTATTCACATTTGTAAATGATGCCAAGACACAGAGAGGTTAAATGATTTGTTCCAGGTCACAAAGCTAATAGAGAGCTAGGATTTGAATTCAAGCAGTGGGCTTGATCCTGACTGCCGCACTATACCATAGAACAGTGCTCCTCATTTTGACTCCATTTTCGTGACCACAGAGAATGGTTTTAAAGTGGAAAAGTCCAGATAAGTGTATTTAAAAACTGAAGCCTACCGTATCCGTATGTAATATGTAATATCATTATGATTGTTCACCTCTCAAGACCCAGTAGAATTATAATCCATGATACTGTTGAAACAATCTGGGCCAACATGAATAATTTGCAAGTAACTTTTCATTAGTTTTCAAGTAAGGCATTCTTGATTAGTGTGGAGTATATACAGGGAGATACAATTTATTCCATTCAGGAGGACAGTTTTCTTCTGGAAAACGTGACCTTCAGTGCATTAGGATGGGCGAAATGCATGCACTGTCAGCCAGTGCATGTTTGTTTTGTTTAATCATATTTAATCATAAAATAATTATATAGGTTGACTTTTAAAGTGGGTTTTTTTTTTTTAAGTCGAGTGGACTTTGGAGACTATCTGCTGACATCCCTGATGTGATTTGTGAATGTTTTCCTTGAATTCACCTCAAAACAACCATGTTAAACTCATATAATTACCTTTTTGAAAGGAATATAAAGATAATATATTCCTGGAATGCCTGTGATGTAACATAATTGATTTCATTAAAGCATTTGCCTAATTTTTCCATTATCTTTGTGGCTGGAATAGATTAGTAAATAGCAAATAGATTTGCAACTAGATAAATATTTCTACCCAGAAATATTCTTTGCTGGCTTAGTATTAGTTACATCTTAGGACTCTTTCATACCCAAGTTTTTATCATTGATTTGGGTGAAAATTTAGTGACTGGCCTGTCAAATCTAGGTAGTGTCAAGAATCAAAGTTCAAAGTGATTTTGACAAGAAAGTGCAATCAAAATCATCATAAGTTGAAATTTAATGAGGATTAACATCAAGACTTAGATTCATTAGATTCAAATAATCAAATTATGTGAGTACTGGATCGGGAAGATCTAGGTGGACAGGATTTTAGTTGACCGTAAACTTAGTATGAGCCAACTGTGTGTTAAGACACAGATACAGGAAAGTACTAGTACTACTGGGTTGCCTGTTTGAAATAAAACTGCTAAGTCATTTTGTAGGCTGCTGATAAACTCAGCCACTTCCCACAACTGAGATGGTGGACGGTTTTAAAAACAACAGGTAAAAAAAATACTGGGTTGTTTAATCTGAGGAGAAAGTAAGTGGAGACATGCCCGCCTAGAGATGGTGGAAGCTGTCCTATGGGATTAGCCGTATTGCTCCAGAGGGAAGGCCTAGTATATAGTGGGTAGAAATTAGGAGAAGATGTGTTTCAATTTAAAATGACCTACTCATGTTGTAACAGCTCTTGGATTTATGCACCTCTTATTACGGAATGTATTCAAATAAAGGCAGGGTGAGCAACTGATAGAAGTGTTTTTAAAACACTTTTTTTTTTTTTTTTTGCTCGGTAGGAAGGTCTCAGATTCTCTCTCAGTCTCAAGAAGCTATTATTGGAGACATAAGTAACCTCTAATCGAGTTAGCTGAAATTCCTATTAAGACTGATTTCTGTCACAGTCAAATACTGAGAATTTGTGTTTTACCAGCAGGTGGCACCTCCTGCCTGCTGCCTTAATTTTAATCTTTACCCTTGGTGAGGAGCCTCACCCTTTCCTTAGAGTCAGAATATGTAAGGCTATTCACTATTTTTGCTTTTCTCCAAAGATCAATCAATATTTGTCCTGTCTTAGTTATAGAAAATAACTTTTGGATCTTGTCACATTTTGGACAGGTTGTGGCTTTTATTTAAGAAAAGATTTCAACCTATAATTATAATTTATTTGTATCATAACTATTATAGTAGGATAAAAAGGAATTAAAGTATTTCTGTCTCATACATCTTGAGACTTGCCTTTTCTTCTGGCTTTCCTCATATGCATTTATATATGTTCAAGTGTTTCCCACCCTAAAACTAAGTCAAGCAGCAAACAAATTCTTTTTTTGCCCCACACTGTCTCTAATATCCTGTGCTTTCTTGTTCATCCGTTTTTTATAGAGCCAGACATCTTACAAGAGTTGTCTCTGGCCAGGGATGATGGCTCATGCCTGTAATCCCAGCAGTTTGGGAGGCTGAGGTCGGTAGATCACTTGAGCTCAGGAGTTCAAGACAGCCTTGGCAACATAGCGAAACCTTGTCTCTACACACACACACAAAATTAGCTGGGAGTGGTGGTGCACAGCTATAGT